ATGTTAGAATATTTGTTAGTGGGCCATTAGACTGCAGCATAATGTCGAGAAACTTTGAGCTGCCTGGGCAAGACGAGAAATTTGTCATAAAAGATCGCAATTGCATGTGACCTATCTACATATACCCAGTAGTCATACCTAGTTCAATCTAACAGGATCGATCCATCTGCAAGGGGTTTCTCGCTAAATTGCTTTCAGCTTAAACGGCTTAGATGTCTGGCACTCCTACTGAAGCTGCTTAACGATAATTAATTCCCCCCTAGCAGCTTCAGTTGGCGTGACAGACATCTCAACCGCTTAAGTTGATTGTAATTTAGCGAAAAACCCCTGGAGATAGATCGATCCACAGTTAATACGATAGGGTTTGGGAGTGGTCCATATGCACATATATGGGTCACACCTATTATACATTTCAAAGTGTCTGCGCTAATATGGAAGGTAGCATTCACATGGCATATATCAACCTGGGAATCTACACATGACAATTAATGCTAGCATTGTGTTAGTCCGAAGGTTCATTGGTCCGAAAGGAGATAGTGGGCGGAATCGTGACAAATGGGATGTAGTTCTCGGGGAGATGTTTACGATAAGCAATGAAGTCCCCGTAGGTCTCGAGGTTTTTTGGGTACAAGTACAAAATAAAATAACGCTGATGGGCTCAGGATAACAATCAAGGCTCTCATTCTACAATCATTCAATACAAACCTTGTATTCATTTTCCACGCTTGCTAAGTGTTCCAGTTCATGGCTTAATTGAAATGCTTCAAATATAGGGTCGTCCCCAGACAGAGTTAAATAGGCAGGACTAACCTTCGGACCACTGGACCCTTGATTAAAAAATCGATGAAAATGTTACCACTTTTCGGACCAATGAACCTTCGGACTATCGAGACGCCCCCCTTTTGTGAGCACTGTACCGTAGTCAGGGTCGTCAGGGTCGTCGCTCGGCTCTCACTATACAAAGAACTATACAACCAAAGAAAAAAACTTCAGACTATACCTACCTATTCTATCATGCTTTTAACTGTTGCACCCGCACAGTACTTTTTGTCGGTCTACTGTCCTGGTTATATTAACTGTGTATTCATATATAAGGCCACCTTGATTTAGGGCCTAATTTTAAAACTAATATCAGCGCAAATTATCGCTGTCCGCGTTTTTGTCCATTTAAAATAACTTGAAGGCCTGGGATGTCGAAAAAATTTCTAATCTACTACTACAAAACCGTCTGATATTGTGGTAAAATGAAACATCAAGATGGCGGCCGCGTCGCCGTCGTCTCTCTGGGATTACACCTGTCGTTGCCAAAATACAAATATGACCTAGACATTTACCTTTGACCTACTTTAGGGGCCTACACCATAAACTGGTGTACAATATTCGGAGGCGGTATCGCCTCTCTGATCCTCTAGTTATCATTTGTTTATTTTATTTTATTGATATGTATTTCTTTGATTCTTGCAGAATCAGAAAGAGCTGGAAATGCTGAAGGAGAAGCTTCGGGCATTGTCTATGCACAAGAGGGAGTACCAGCAGAGGGTGGAAGAGCTGGATAAAGAACAGTTTGACGAGAAAAATAAGCTGGCGCTGACGGAGGAGACATTAAGGAGTTTAAAAGGGCAAATCGACAAGGTGTGTATTCAGGGTTTCTGCTGGCATTAAGGGACTACAAGATAAGCTTGAGATCTGATCCAAATCTACGGTAATTACTTGATGGGCAAACAATATAAAACTTGAAGACACATAATTTCATAATCACAAAAATTATATTTTTTTAATTTTATTTTATTTAGTATTTGTGGTGCTTTTACTGCAGTTACAAAGTAGCCTGCTTTTAAATTTTGTTGCTGTCACCCAATAGGAATTTTAAAAAAATTTTACTTAAAAACTACTGAAACAGCATATTCTGTAAAATTCACAACCCTCCCCCTCCATTGAAAAGATCAAGTAATTACTGTATTACGACCTTCAGTACATATTGGGCTTTTGGTATAGGATGTTATGTTTTGTTTTTTTATTTAGATGGAATTATGGTCAATTTTTTGGCCTTTAGGCCACACTTTTTTATTTTTATGGATGACATCCTGCGCGCGCACCGATTTTCGTCCGTTCTCAAAAAAAAAAAAAAATATATATATATATATATATATATATATAAGATCTATATATAAAACTGTATATAAATAAGTTAACTCCTCTTTTTTTTCCCTGTCTTTGGCCTTTTGCCTAAAGGTTTAAAGTAATTGTCTCTTTGTACAGAAAATATACTTTTGTGTTAGAATTATACCCAGCAGACATAGTGGTACTCTATTAATAATTCCCCACTCTATGTCTGTATACTTTAACACTGAATCTTCAACATACTGAAGCAATATACTCAAATATTATAGCTCCGTAAAAATTGCACAAAAACTAATTGTGCAGCGAATTTTCGGTTGGCACGAAGCGTGAAGATTCTACTCCACCTCTTTCTTAATCAAATATATTAAGAAAATCGGAACTTCTTTATTTTCTCTTTGACAACTCAAATAATATCAGTTTTAGTGAAAACAATGCTTAACGTGGATTTACAACTTCTATATTTCTGCATACATACTACTCATTTAGCTGTCAATTCAGCATTTTGAAAAATTCAAAACTTCGATTCAGGATGATTATGCACAATCATATATGCCAGTTTTACAAATTAAAGGAAGTTTTGATCTGTATTATACATGGCTTGCTACATACTGGTTGTAGCATAAGAACTCAAAACAAACAGGCAATAAGTCTGAACCCATGAATAAAACACTACTTTTAATATCGACTGGTATCATTTTCAAGCCCTGACTTTCCTATAATTATCTTTGGTTGCAAGTCCAGTATACTGCATCAATTCACATGTACCAACATCTGCATCTGAAATATTAAAAAATTTATATCATGAATAGAGAAAAATACTGGTACGTGACCCCATTTCAAGCAAAATAATCAATAAAGGCCAACCTGAAAATTGACCATAATTCCACCTAAATAAAATAACAAAACATAACATCCTATACCAAAAGCCCAATATCTACTATAGGTTGTAATACAGAGTAATTACATGATCTTTTCAATGGGGGGAAAATTGTGAATTTTACATAATACGCCGTTACAGTAGTTTTTAAGTAAAAAAAAAAATTAATTCCTATTGAGTCACAGCAACAAAATTAAAAAGCAGGCTACTTTGTAACTGCAGTAAAAGCACCACAAATGCTTTATAAAATTAAAAAAAATATATAATATATATATATAATTTTGTGATTATGAAATTAAGTGTCTTCAAGTTTTATAATTTTAGCCCATCAAGTAATTACCACAGATCTGGATCAAATCTTAAGCTTATCTTGTAGTCCCTTATTGCCAGCGCAAACCCTGAATACACACCTTGTCGATTTGCCCTTTTAAACTCCTTAACGTCTCCTCCGTCAGCGCCAGCTTATTTTTCTCGTCAAACTGTTCTTTATCCAGCTCTTCCACCCTCTGGTGGTACTCCCTCTTGTGCATAGACAATGCCCGAAGCTTCTCCTTCAGCATTTCCAGCTCTTTCTGATTCTGCAAGAATCAAAGAAATACATATCAATAAAATAAAATAAACAAATGATAACTAGAGGATCAGAGAGGCGATACCGCCTCCGAATATTGTACACCAGTTTATGGTGTAGGCCCCTAAAGTAGGTCAAAGGTAAATTTCTAGGTCATATTTGTATTTTGACAACGACAGGTGTAATCCCAGAGAGACGACGGCGACGCGGCCGCCATCTTGATGTTTCATTTTACCACAATATCAGACGGTTTTGTAGTAGAAGATTAGAAATTTTTTCGACATCCCAGGCCTTCAAGTTATTTTAAATGGACAAAAACGCGGACAGCGATAATTTGCGCGGATATTAGTTTTAAAATTAGGCCCTAAATCAAGGTGGCCTTATATATGAATACACAGTTAATATAACCAGGACAGTAGACCGACAAAAAGTACTGCGCGGGTGCAACAGTTAAAAGCATGATAGAATAGGAAGGTATAGTCTGAAGTCTTTTTCTTTGGTTGTATAGTTCTTTCTATAGCGAGAGCTGAGCGACGACCCTGACGACCCTGACTACGGTACAGTGCTCACAAAAGGGGGGCGTCTCGATAGTCCGAAGGTTCATTGGTCCGAAGGTTCATTGGTCCGAAAAGTGGTAACATTTTCATCGATTTTTTAATCAAGGGTCCAGTGGTCCGAAGGTTCTATAGTGAACATTCGGACCAATGAACCTTCGGACTAACACAATGCTAGCATTAATTGTCATGTGTAGATTCCCAGGTTGATATATGCCATGTGAATGCTACCTTCCATATTAGCGCAGACACTTTGAAATGTACAATAGGTGTGGCCCATATATGTGCATATGGACCACTCCCAAACCCTATCGTATTAACTGTGGATCGATCTATCTCCAGGGGTTTTTCGCTAAATTACAATCAACTTAAGCGGTTGAGATGTCTGTCACGCCAACTGAAGCTGCTAGGGGGAATTAATTATCTTAAGCAGCTTCAGTAGGAGTGCCAGACATCTAAGCCGTTTAAGCTGAAAGCAATTTAGCCAGAAACCCCTTGCAGATGGATCGATCCTGTTAGATTGAACTAGGATAACTACTGGATACATGTAGATAGGTCACATGCAATTGCGATCTTTTATGACAAATTTCTCGTCTTGCCCAGGCAGCTCAAAGTTTCTCGACATTATGCTGCAGTCTAATGGCCCACTAACAAATATTCTAACAANCTGGTGCCAACCAATGAACGGTGTACATTTTCTGGGTTGTATATACAAAACATATTATACAACAATCTTTGTTTGCTGGGAAGAGCATGATCAATCAAACCTAGAATTACATAGAGACACTGTAAGTATTTAGTAACATTAAACAACAAAAAAGTTCATTTCATTAAAAAAAAAAAGACCTTACATATCCAAAATACATTTCCACAACACAAAGTTTTAGGAATGTTTGTTTTAAAAAAATCATTAGAATCATAAAAATCTGACAATATCAAGAAAAACCAGTTTGCTTTAATGTACTTACACTCTCTATATATCCTCTTTGGCAAGATGAATGTCTCTGGTTTGTAATGGAATGGGCTCCTCACTTCTCTACGTTCAAATAACTCTGGATGATTGCACACCTGTTGGTTGAAATAATTTGCTTGACACCAATATGACATGTATGGTTAATATATATATATAGAAACAAAACTAGAAAATACCTATTTGTATATTTTATTTTATAAGTTATAATGTTTTGTTGATAAGTAGAAAACATCTAATCATCTACTGTAAATATAACTGATCAACAAAATAATTTCTGTAACTCAGAAATTAAAAAAAAAATTGCCGTTGGTGCTGTGGTAGCTCTTACCTTTCTAAACTGCATGACTAAATTCATGAGACTACTTGTTGTGCTCTGTGCTTGAGATGCTGATGTGGCCATTGCCGACTGAATTAGGTCCTCTATTCTTATCTTGTTTTTAATGGCCTGATACAAGATCTTCTGTCGCCTTGTTAAATGGCAGTACACTAAGATTTCAATCTGTGGAAAGAATAATTCTGGCATTTAACATGTATATTATAAATATGATGTTTTCAGGAATACTACAAATATTATTTCATTTATTACTAGCAACTTCTGTCTGACCAGGCTAATACTGGGTGACAGCACAATAACAAGGGTGACTTCTCAGTTACAATTAAGTTTACAAATGGTGAGGTTTAACTATTAACAGTGAAAATTGAAAGTATGGACCATGTCCTAACAGTACAATTATCATCATCATCACCACAACAACAACAATAATAATAGCAATATATATTATCATATATAAGTCATGAATTTTACAATAGGAGTAAAATGAATCTAACTTCTTTTAAAATAAAACAGACACCTGGTATCTAACTTAAATATGAGGTAGCAATTACCGTACTAATGCCTTTCTGACACCAACCCTACCTTATCAGAGAGCTCATTTTCTACATCTTTTTTCACTCTTCTCAACATAAAGGGTTTTAATATCATGTGAAGTCTTGACAGGCAATCTGGAAGGAAAAACAATCACTTTAAAGCACAAAGAAATCAGTTCCTGCCAGAATAATTTGGATACTATAAGATGCACTATTTTAATAAAATTTTTAATTCACAGCAAAGAAGATTTAGTCACTTTAAGTGCTATATTAAAAGAGCTAACTTTATTAAATCGAACACCTAAATCAAAAGGATTTAAATAAAGATGTGTTGAATACATGATAAAAGGTAGCACTCTTAGTGACAAACATGATAAAGAAAGTTGTTTTTGCATAAGTATACATACTTTCATCCATGCCAGACATTTTCTCCACGCTTCCCTCTATGTCTTTAGAGAACCACTCATTGAACTCGTCATGGGAATCAAACAGCGTAGGCATGATAAAATGCAGAAGAGCCCACAGCTGGAAAGGCATTTAAAAAGTATATCAATAAAATTTAAGTAAATAATTTTCAGTTATCAAAACTTACCTGTTACAGCAAGAAAAAAGGTTAATGCTGATTCTAAAATGTCAATATGAGGTTCAAGCAAAGGCTTTGACATGTTCACTGAATCCTTGTTGAGATTTATTTTAAAATGAAAATCATTTATAGACTTCATGGTAATGCTTTTAACACCCATTTTGTGACAAACCATAACTCTTGCCTGAACCACTGAATGTGCCAATTTATTTATTTAAAGAATATTTAGCACAAAAAGAAAAATACTTGGGCCCCATACAAATTTCAGACAAGACTGACTGTGAACTGCAAAAAAAAGTGAAATGACATACTGAAGAAAAAAACATATCCATTTACCTCAGCCATACTATTCTGTATGGGTGTTCCAGTGAGTAGCAATCTGTTTCTACAGCTGAATCCAAGCAGCATCTTCCAGCGGATACTGCTGCTACTCTTGATTGCCTGGGCCTCGTCCAGCACCATATAGATCCACTTGATCTTCTGGAAGTATTTCATGTCCTGGATGACCAGCTGATAGCTGGTGATCACAACGTGGAAGGAAGATTGCTCCGTATAGGCGTGGGCTTGATCCCAGAAGCTACGAAGGATTTTACGATCCTGTGTATTACCCCAGTATGGTACAACCTGGATAAAAACATCACTGAATGAGAATTCATGAAAACCTGACATTCAAAAACATTCAGAACAATCTTATAAAGCTGCAACATGACATATGCAACAATGCATTCTTTAAAAATATGTTGCTTTTGAAAAGTAATATGTTTATGTCCATTCTTGAAGTTGACATGCATTATAGTTTGATGGGTCTGTTACTCAAGAATCTTTTAGGCTAAACTGACAGTAATTTCAAGTAACTGTTGTTCAGATGTTCACTTTGTGCTGTCCCAACTGTGACCACACACAAAAAGGAGATATTGATAGGAACAAGAAAAAAATTGCCACATACTTGGAAGATCATAACTGTGGCTTACTTTCTTGTAGCACTTCAGTGAAATTACCTTGAATCTTGGCAAAAACTTGGAGAATTCCTGTTGCCAATTGTGTAGGGTGGATGCAGGGGCAATCACAAGGAAAGGCCCCCAAATGCCATGGTGCTAAAAATGATAAGAACATCCACAGATGTCACAAAATTTGCACTTTTTTCATAAAATATTATCAAGTCAACGTGAACAATAAAAGTTGTTTTGACAAGAAAATTTATGACTTCAAAAATTACTGATTCAAAGCTTTTAAAAGCCTCTGATATCATTTGTCTTTAAGATCATATTGGAATATCATGAAGAATATTACAACAAGAGTTGTAAAAGTTCTAAAATCCCAATCAGATATACAATTTGCTGCATCACGTCACACAAAAATTGCGTATCTCATTTCTTATCAACAGCTAATATTCATCTTACCTCAGCCAAATGAGAGAGAAGTGCAATGCTCTGAACTGTCTTTCCCAGTCCCATCTCATCTGCCAATATACCATTGATGCCTTTATTGTAAAGACTTGCCAACCAGTTCATGCCCTACAGGATACAGTGAACAACAATTAATGTCTGCATTCAAAACTGCTGATCTAATGATTTTATAAGAATGTTAATCTCCATGTAAACTATATTTTCAGTGACAACACAAGGATTTCTGGTATGTTAGTTTTCCTCCAAGCACTGCATTTCTGTATGTTACCATTTAATACATGACGGTCACATACTGCAAATAAAAAAAAATCCTCATAATCCTGCTAGAATAGACCTTACAATAAAACAGAATCAAGCACACCTTTTGTCTGCTAGCATAACACTCTTCCAATCTTGACAAAAAAATATATTGCCAACAAAATACAGAACATAATTTAGCCAAGTAGACAGGGACATTTACATTACCTTCAACTGATAAGCCTTCAATTTGCCTTCAAATATACTAGGCTGTGGCAACTCTTCCTCCATAGTGAGGTCTGGTGTTGACAGGCTAGAGTCCACTGAAACAAGAAAAAAAAATCCTGTATAATTTTCTATCTAAGTGAGTAATTGGATACGTAAAATATGAAGTAAATTTTTCACTAGTTTGCCAAAACTCATAGGTACAAACAGGATGGATAATTGTCTTTTAAAAGCTTCTTTGTACACACACATTTCATAAAGGCTTGTCTACATGTGCCACATATTCATAAAGGGTTACTTTAAGAATAAAACAATGGAACTCCTCATAATGTGCTGTCACAAATACTTACATGATTTTTTGGCTTTCTGTCTCATCACAACACCACTATCAAATGACTTGGTCTGAAATTGAAAATTTTGCTTTTACTACTGCCACTTTTTCATCGATTGAAACTCAAGACATTCTTCATCAAAACATACAGTTCTCTTGACAATTCTGTGGAAGTTTCTTACTTTTAAAAAATACAATCTTAGTTTCAGCTGCTTTATGAAACTATAACTTAAAGGGGGTATATACCTTGACAGGTAAACTGTTACCAGGGGCAACTGATTAAAAAATATGATAAAACATTATAGATCACTGATCCATTTTTTAAAAACCTCTTTTCCATGATCTTCCAAAAAATGTAAAACCAATGTTTTCATGAGTGGTAAAATCTTTAGTATCAGAGTTAAGTCAAAAACCCAAAATCTTGATTTTTGCCAAGACTTTCCACGTACTACTTTTAACTGTAAAAGTAATTCTTACTTTTGCCTGGTGAGCTTGGAAAGCATCTGTAGCATTCTTTACAGCTATGTTTTTCATAGATTCACTATCTAAAAAAACAATAAGACAGTATAAGTTACAATGTTGAAAATACTGTCGAAATGACATAAAAGTCATTATAAAAAGTGGTAGACAGTGTCATTACACATGTAACCAGCTTGCAACAACCAAAATATAGCTTGATAAACAGTAACTGTATGTTTATTTTGTATAAAAAACATTACTTGATTTCTGAGGTTGATAACTTCTGAAACTCACTGTAATTATCTCCCTTCATGTCTGTAACCAATCCACCAGATACCTCCAGATGGCGCTTGGAGTCCCCGTCATCATCATCCAATCTCTGTAAAATCTCTTTCTGCATTGTGTCATTACCTCCCGCTACCTTGCGACTCATGAAATGGGCATACAGTTCTGTCTGGGTGATTAAGAAATTCAACTTCCTTTGCTGCCTTTTTGCCTTTAATAAATATATTAAACAAAAGCATAGAAAAGAAATCTAATTCTGTAATTGATACCACTGAGTAACAACAGTGACAATATGATAATGCTGAAGATCATCCGAAGGGAAATGACATAATATTGAAAAAAATATGCCATGAGTGGAAAGTCCACATATTTTTTTTTGTAAAAAAAAAAACAAAAAAAAAAAACACAATGCAACCACGCTTCATACAAATCCTGAAACTTATTCCAACACACCATTCTCTTTTCATGTTGGTGGGGTAGAAAGACCATACCTCCATTAATTCCAAATCCATTTTCCTCTGTTCTTGGGCTTCTTTTTCTGCCTTTTTACGAGACTCTTTCTCCACTTTTTCAAATCTCTTCCAGTAGACTAACATCTCCCTAGTTAGCCGACGTGCTCTCTGTAAACTATCTTTAGTGCTACGCTGGAACTGCAGTGCTTTCCTACGGCTCTCTTTCATGCATTCTTTTGCTAGCTGAAATTACATTTAACAGATTTTTTTGAATTTCCATTTTCATTTTAACTTCTCCTTATCAGCTTATATACTACTCACACTATCATATGCTACAATGGTATATTTTTGGGAAAAAGTATAAATACACAAAGTGTTAAATACCTTCCTCGCATTTGAAAACATTTCTTTACGTGTTGATGTCCTTTGTTTCTGAGCCTGAAATACAATTAAAAATAATATAACGTTCCTTTAAGAGATGAACCAAAATATCTGATAAAACTTAATAACTTTTTCATCACTATACTTATTTCCTATTGTTATCACAACAACAATTTAATCTAAAAGACTGAATCATTCTAAAAGAAAAACCATTAATACATTGATAAAAAAAAAAAAAAAAAAAAAGATGAAGAATCCGTGTGGCTGAAAAAATGTCCAATATACCTTAGGAACTTCTTTCTTCACTATGCTCATCCACATTCTTTTTCTCTTCACCAGTGCCTGCTCTGGTGTTAGTCTCTTCACCTTGACCACCTTCAGAGTATGGGTGGAGTGGTGAATAGGAGGGCTCTGTAATCAAAAAGCATTTACTTTATCCATCAAAACACTACATTGAATAAAATGATAAAAATGTAAATATTTAGCTATTAACTTAAACCTTATCATCATTTTCTTATTCAAAATCAGCAACAAAAATTTAGCATCTTGTGCAACATACCTTAAGTTCATCTGACCCTCTTTCTTTCTTTAGCTTCTTCAGCTTGGCTTCAAAGGCAAAAATTAAATACCATCATTAGTAATCATGCATTGCCTGTATGTAGAAGAACAAATTTTGTCTTATGCCTGTCAAAATATGGTCCAACATCTATTCTCTAAAGTAATGTCATAACTTTGATTGTATGATGATAAACCACAACTTAAAGGTAAAGTAATATACATACCTTTCATAAGCTTTTTCTCTAATTTTTTCTGTTCATCTTTAGGTCCCTTCTTTTTAGGCCCAAGAATCTGCTTGTGGTGGTCATGATATTTGTCGTAGTTAGACAGTAACCCCACACTATAATACTGATACTGATGTAACTAAAATGTAAGCACATCCAAAATTTGAGTATATACTATCCAAACATAGGTTTTATAGCAGATAATGAATGATTTGCACTAAATTATCCTATTTTTAGGAAATAGGTAAAAGAGATTCATTGACTTAGTTCCTATTTTTCTCCCCATTACAGGGACATATGTAAAACTTACAACAAAAACAAGATAATAAGCTGAACAATTTTCTTGCATTCAACTTTATCAAGTTTATCACTTTATCAAGTTCCAAACACAAAATAGTCTATAAATAAACATTTTCCGATTTGGCTACAGCAAATGGAATCTCCACATGCCTTCCTTTTCATTCCCCCCCTCTCCCTCTCTCTCTTAGAAATAGAAAATTATTATGAAAAAAGAATGTAATGTGCTCCTGAACATTAATGCCTGCTACCTGATAAGAAAATAGGAAGATTTTTTTTTACAACACAAGTCAATATATAAGTTCTATAATATTCCATACCTGTGGGTCATTGTAAAACTGTATCTGGCACTGTCTCTGTAGTTTGTGTATTCTGAGCATTTCTTGCATTTTTTCAGGAGTCATTTCATCATCGTCCTCATCAGACGAACTATCACTTAACAAGATGTTCTGAAATTTGACAGGTTGGCTAAGTGACAGATGCATACTGCAGTGTTTGAGAGGAATTAAACCCATTGGATAACTGCATAACTTTATTATACATACTGAATTTTAAATCTTTTTCAGTTAGTTCAATTAAAACCTGTTTATAACACACCTGATTAATATCATTTTATTTCTTTTAACCCTTAATCATATCTGAGATTTTTTGGCATTGGCAATATACAATGCCTCTGCCATTTTTGCTTTCCCCCCCCCCCCCCAACATTATGGTTATTAGTATTTATCAAAATTTGCTATTTTAAGTCAGCTATTGCCAAAGAAAAACAAAATATCGATGGATTCATTAAATGTTATCATTTTTACTCTTTACCTTTAACCATTTTCTACTTTTCTTTACTTTAGTGAAGTTATAGAGCCGGGTCTTGTCTGCCCTCCTCTCTGAAACAAAACAAGAAAATTCCTCACAAAATATATATTATCTAATAAAACCTTACATTCTTCTCATAAAAATGTTTCTTTTTTCTTAAAATAAAATAAAATAAATAAATAAATAAATCAGGTAAACTTAAAATATAACTACCTGGCTTTGTTGTAGCAACCCCATTAACTATTTTCATGCCCTCTGCGTCAGATAATTCAGTATCTGTATCTGTGGTGTCTGAATCACTGAAATATAAATTAAAGAATGATATTGCAGGTTTTAGCTAAAGCTGAAGTAAATCAGCAAATGAACATTTATATTAATATATTTTATTCAACTAAAGACAATTTTAACACTTAAGAAATCTAGCAAAAAAACAAACTAGTCACTTTATTTACCTCGGTAAATCTGGAATGCTTAGCACTTTGTCAACATAGCTAAGAAATGGCCCCAACTCCAAACACTTCTCTATGTGCTGGACATGAAGGGGCTTGGCCAGGTCATCCTGGGGCTGACCAGAAGTCCCAGGTAATACTGGCTTCTGGTCTACAGTTGCACTAGCCATCCTAAATAGCCCTGAAACACAACACACATGCAGGTGGCTCATAATATCATGGACAAAGACAAATAAAAAATTATTTTATCCCTGGATAATAAACAGCTACTTAAAATATTTTCTGAAAATATTTTCATTGCAACATAAGTCAACTAATTAAAACTGGTTTTCAAACAATAATAATCATAACAATCATAATAATAATAATAATCATCATTATTAAGGGGGGATTATAAAATAAAGTTGAAATGAGTTTGTCCATCATATGTGATCTTGTCAAATAAATAGAATAAAACATAATTACAAAACTTGATATGAAGAATATGGTTACTCCTTGCAACTTTTATAGATAACAGCATATACCTTTGCACAATATGTTGTAACAATACATATTGACCATCATAACGTGTGACAATCTCAATATAAAAATTAATGTAAGGTTTAAACTTGAAATTTCATTATTTTGTTATTATAATTAATTATATTATTTCTGGTGCCTTATTTTAATTATCATGTAAAGGTAGCATAATAAATATAATTTCTATGTTTCTGGCATTTATAAGCATTTTCATTTCAGTCTTTTTACGGGCCAAATTCCACTTCACAATACTGATACTAGCCATGTATAATGAGTATGGTTATGAATATACACACTAAACTTCAACGTTCTTCAGCAAGTCTCACGATTAAGATGTAAAACATAAACAATATTCAATACAAGCTCTAATATTTAATAGAAATGACCTTGAAATGAACTTAAAAGAAACATCAAGTAGTATAGCAAGATCCCCTGCTTTCATTTTAAAAACATACATGTACTCAGTGGATAGAGGGTTAAACCGGCTTTCTCCCACGTGCACAAGAACTGTCTGTAAACAACGCGAAACATACACGCAATAACTGAAAAATTCGTTCTGTTACGAAAATAAGGACGGCATCTTCCCCATCGACCCAGAAAATCATCAAAGAATTTGACCTACTCCGCATTCAATAGTCTGCACATTTATCCACATATAAACAACAAAATATACCCATAAAGTCCACCGACATCTACTAAACACAGTGTACCACCATCTTTCTTTGAAAAAGTTACCTTTCTGATAGAAATAGGCCTAAACAAACTCCTATCACCGAAGTCTTTGCATTCCCAAACCACGCAGCCAATATGGCGAATAGTGGAGGGTTGCAGTGCATGGCTGAGAGCGGCAAACACATCCCATCGCATGACTTTCCTCTTGCGTCGCTGGGGGTCGCCCGCCATTATCAATTTAATACTCTCAATCCAGTATCTAAAAACGATAATTACAAGCTCTGAAACAATTTTATTTGATCAAAAATATACCAGAGGGAAGCTGAAATCGATGAGTGATATAAATGGGTTTTCCATGTCCTTAGAAGTCAGTAAAATTGCTGTTTTTAAGCCTTGTATTTCTTCCATATATCAGGCATCTTTCACAGGGTTACAGCAAAAGTTATTTATTAAAACTCAATTCTGAGTACAGATATATAAAATATGACAAATATTTATTAAAAATATTTTATAATACTTTTTTTGATAAAATTTTTCGTTTGTATGAACAATGTGTGAAAAATTTCCACAATTGTTTGCTGGTCCCTGTGTTTATAAAGGTCAACTTTACGTCATATGGTCATGTGACTGGGACCACATTTGCAGCGAGGAAACGAGGAGGGCAATTCAAACATGGTGAGCTTTATAATTCACAATTATTAATTTAAAGCTGTTCCTTAAGAAGGAATTACAAGTCAACACATACTTGACAGCTGTAAAATTTAATTGTTTTCTGTTGCTGTAGTCGAATGCATTTTGAATTATTCCGATCTTAACAAGAGCTGCGCGTCAGATACCCGCTGCAGTAGGTGCATAAATAGACAAAATAGGGCTCACTCCCAATAAAAGTATCGGTTTACGTAGATCGATCCAACTCCGTGGGTACTCTCGCTGAATGTAATCAGTTTAAAAGCTTAACACGCCCCCTCCTGGCGTTGGGTAGAATACAGAAATGCTGGAGATTATACGAGTGAGTTGGAAACAAGGAGGCGTGTTCATCTGTTAAAGCCACACAAGGCTAGTGGGATTAAAACGCATTCTAAGTGCATGGATTGCTTCTTGTTGAACTTATCTGAGGACAATTAAAACATAAGTGGCCTTAATCAATATTGCAAAAAATGTATTCACAGTCTTCACATCAATAAATAAATTTATTCAAACTACCTACCCGATAACTTAAGATTAACTGCCCAATCTTATTCCAGTGGACAACTGTAATTATAATATTCAGTGGGTTTGATCGATACCTCGCTTCTCATATTCTCATATTCTTATTGCATTCTTTTAGGATTCATGTATACTTCACCTGCTGCCTTGGAGCTGTTGTAGAATTCTGAGATGACCGTGCATTTAGAATAGGAACTGATATATCAGGGATATTCAGCCATGGACCAGTTATAACAGACAGAATGAACAACTTAAACAATGTGATGTTTGAATTAGTTAATACAATGAGTGCAGTGTGTTTGGTCCTTGAAATCATTATACAAGTCATATGTTCAAGACTGGTCTATCTTGTTTAGTGATGAAGCATTAAAGATAATAAAACTTATCTTTTTTATTATGTGATGAAATGATAGAACAGTACGTGTATTTTGCATTGAACTTTATACTTTAGGTTTTTTCATTGATGTCCAAAGTAATTGATGTATTGAATTGTATCATGAGTCGGTAACACTGTTGATTCTATTGTCTTAGAAATCTCCCCTCATTTACAGATTATGAAGCATTAATGTATTTATTGTTCTTTGTTTTGACAATAAATTGAACTTTTGACATAATATACCAGTATTATTTTGTGCAAGAAGTGCAGACAGACAAAAATTAATAGTTCACATTTTGTGTATATAAATTATTAATTTGTTGGTATAAAATTCTTCCACATGTTCTCCTACCACAATGTAATTTGATTGTAAAAACTGAAGTAGTACTAAAATGTTATAACTTATATCTTTTAAAAACAGTTAAAGGATTGGTAAATACTAAGAATTTGTGCCTCATTCACAAAGAATTATAGATAATAATAGCTATGATACTTTCAAAAATAGGAAAGATAAAGTTGAACTTGTAAACTTTGTTTAGCAGGCACATTTAGCAGACGAGAAAAAGAAAAATTGAAAATGGGAGTTTAAAAATGGCACGTACAATTTGCTCAAATGAAAATTGAGACTGTGGTAAGTCCACTACCTCTTTCAAGTGGATTTACTTATTGTAATTAAAATGACTTAAAAATGTCAACCTGTGTAACTGGAGGGAAGAGTATGAAGCCACGTTCACAACCAAAGTTGACAACAGGTGGCAACTTTTAGGAAAGTCATTTGTTTGGGAAAAATATTTTATAAATTTTATTATGATTTATTGATTAAATCACAGAAAATCTCAAGCAGTTTTGATATTGAACCATTGATTTTTTTTGCTTGGGTCTAATAGTGTCCCAACTCCTATTGTTACACCAGTAGATCACCATGGAGGTCTCACAGGACTTGCCGAGGGGTAGATCTATAAGATAAACACTGTCCCATGGCTTACTATAAAACAAACATCTTGCTCCAGTCTAACATTTTATCAAGACTTTTGCTTATTCTAGATAATATGTTTGGTATTTCTTGATTATGTTGATGGTACAATTTTTACCAAGCCAAATACTTTCAACTTGGGGACAGTTAATACTTGGGAAAACAATCTTATCAAATTAAAAACCCTGCAAATATATAATGATTTGAGGCATAGGGTATTATGACTTGTAGGATCAATCCTTCAATTGAAGTGCTCTCAATCATGAAATATAGCGTCAATATTTACCCATTTAAAATTTACTGTGCCTTTCTTCTCGGCTGAATTGCATTGTCCCTTGGCACTTAACAAATTGTTAGTACATCGACTGGTTAATAGCTCTAAGGTGAATGGAAATGTAAATTTTCATTTTTGTAAGGACCCACAGTTATCTAAAAGTTTGTATTGGTCACGGATAATTAACATTCTATAATTGGTTAACTTGAAAATCCATGTTCTGATTCAATCATATTCCATAATAAGCCCTTGATTTGTATTATCACTAAGGATATCTAGGTCGTTATCCCCAAACATAGAGAGAAAAGGAGTGTATATTAGCTTATGATGGGGGAAGGTACATGTACATAGAGGCAGAGAGCTAATTGCTGTCACACGTCTGCTACTTGACAACGCCATACACAAAGTTCACCCTTGAAAGTTACAGGGAATATTTTATGCAGTTTCCTTCCGAACCTTGGAAATTTGAGACATGGAAGACTTCTGTGAATGATACATCAAATTTCTGGATAATGAAGTAAGGAAGTAGCACAGGACAGGAGTATTGATTTGTGTTGGTTACTTTTATTTGAATTTGCGTGTTTCAATTACTGCACAGTGCTGGGCAGTCAACTACTGTAAATTACTGCTCGCCTTCCAACTGTTTGTGTTTTTGACTTTGCTTAATAGTGTCCAGGAAAAAAAAATAAATTGCAGTGATTTTATTCTTGTTAGAATGATGAGAAAGTGAATTCTGTAGACAAAAAATCAGCATGGAGATGGTAACAACTGAGAACTATTTTGATCTTACACAGTTCGTGTCCTTGAGTTGCTGTACGATTGAGAAAATCCGAGAGTAATTGTAGAATACTCTAAGGTAAGTTTTATGTTAAGCACGTGTGGCAATATATTTGTTAAAAATTTTTTTTTTTTAGATTTTAACCTTTGATAACTGAAATAAGGATAAAGTTTTTTTTTTTAAATGGCTGATAGTTTAAGGACAAAGCAATAGCTCTTATTGCCATCTTCACACAATTTCCCACTTAGTATTTACCATTTTAGTAAGATCTAAATTTATCTTATTTCGAATCTGATTCAAAGAACAGAAAGTGTATTTTGTGACTAGCCAAATATTTAGAAAATCTGCCAAAGCCATGTGTTATTAGAGCTCAAAGAGTGCTTTGAAGTCCTAAGTCCTTTCAGATTTATTACACACTACAATAACTGAGAGTCATGAATACATACATTTAAAAAAATGAAAATTAAAATATTTAGGATGCAGCATCCTGCAGAAGATAACCAATCTAAAATGGAGCCCCATATGCCTGTGATGTCTGAGAGTGTAAAAGATGCCAGTGCAGCAGGGATTTTAAAGGCTATTAGAGGTTCCAGTGATAACCATGATCAAATGACTAGAATCGAGAAGGTGAGCTGGCCATTTTCTTTAAATAGGCTTAATTTTATAATTGAAACCATTTACAGATTTTAAAATGAATTTTCTCTTTGCATCAAATATCACAATAAACCACACTTCAGTTACATGTAACATTACTTTCACTGTTATGCTCATTTTTAGGTTAATGGGAAGAATGGCAAAGTACGGTTAAAGCATTTACCTATACATGAACGGCACAGAGTTCTTTCAGCATTCAAGGTGAGAGGCATACAGGGCATTATTGAATGTTACATCTATCTGTATTTATGGTCCTTATAATCACAAACTTTTCATTATGTATATTTTTTAATATAAATTAAAAAAAATATTTTCATCTTTTAAGTTACTGTTATTGTTATTATTGTATGATTATTATCTTTATTTGTTTTATTTTAATATTTGTTTTTATGGTTAATTTGATTCTTTGATGTTATTAACAGAGGATGATAAGTGAGGATGTGGAAAGGAGGATCACTGGGGCTGCAGCTAGAGAGGAAGAATTGAGAAAAAAATCGCAGAAAAAACAAGAAAAAATGGAAGAAGAAAGAGAGAGATTTGAAACACAACAGGTAAATATTATTATTATCTTGACTAAATGCTGGGTTGGAAAACTGAAGATACGATATTTATAAAAGGGGATTTTGGTTATGAATTCAACCTAATGTCTGCATACATGTGTAAATTATGAGTAATTATCAAAAGTTGCTAATTAAAAATGTTATTGAATTATGCCACTCATTTGATTTACTGACATTGTAAAATCATTAATTTACATTTATGTCAACATGTTCATTTTTAATCCTATATTTCAGAAAGTTTTAAGAAAATTCAAACCTATCCTTGATCAGTATGATGAGTTTGGGATGAAAATACAGCCTTCGGTACACAAGCAGTCTCATAGACGGGCACGATCTGAGACCAACAGCCCATCAGACAGTCTCCTGCCAAAAGATAATTATTATTTGTCACCGCTCACAAGACTACAACCCAATGATCGCAGGAAGTCAATTTCTCATGAATCTTTGCATGTTGACATAATTTACAGACTACAAGGAGATAAAATATCAGCTTCCCTGCCGTCTTTGGGCAATAGTTTTGAGTCTCAGAGTATTTCCTCATTAGACAGTATTCAGTCACTACCAAGTGGCAGTGTAAGTGGGGATAAAAATGGAAATGTCATTTTCAATAAAGAAAAAGCACCTTTACCAGATATTGTTCCTAAGAGAGATTCTGGAATTGAACTTCATGCAGAAAATGACTACTCTGCTGATGGTAGAGACCCCACTGGACAACTAAAGCAATTATCTGCTTCTAAAAAAAGAAAAGCATTTGTTACCCAGCAGATGATGTCAGGTGCTACAAGTTGCTCTTTTCAAAGTTTCAACAGTTCTAATGAAACCACTGTCACTGATTTCCAACCAAAGGACACTAATGTGAACAGCAGGTTGAAATTTCCTGCTGAAATGTCACGGACGGAAATAAGGGAGGAGATGTTGAAAGGAAGACTGCACACCCCTTACTGCACAGAAGAAAACATTTTAAGGATTTATATCAGCAGCACGTCAACAGGTATCTGACAGTGTATCATGCAAAATATTTCCAATGCATTCTGCCCATAACAACACGTCTGGGCAATTGTTAGTAGTGAGCTGAACAAATAGTAAATTGCACAAAGCATATATTCGGGTCTACATTGTTTGCTAACTAACTGGCTTAAACAAACATCAGCTTGCCTAAAGGAGTGCTTGGAATAATGTAGTTTTAATGTTATTATGTCAGAAAATTGCTTCAGATTATAATAAGGTTAAAAGGTTACAATGAAAACCCTAGAGAGGAACATTATTTAGAAAGAGAGAAGGATTTTAATTCTGTTGAAAGTTGTAAATTTTTTATATATGAAAAATTTCAAAGTAATTTTTATCTTAATATATTTAGGATACTTGTTTTTTTTTGCTTTTTAAATGATGTCAGTACATGTATCAGCCTAAGTACTATAATTTGTTAAAATTCTGACATTTTTAGATACAATTGGAGAAGGAAAACTCCTTACAAACTCGGTCTACCCTTATCTACAAAATTTGGCACAGAAAAAAGGCTATGAGCTTCAGTTGCTGGATCTCCACTGGGGAATTAATGGGCTGTTTCTTGATGATCACAGCTATGCAGAAACTTGTAGGAGGGCTTTGGAGTGTTGCCTGGAGAAACATGGACTCAATTTTATTGTATGTTTTATCAAATTGTTATTTTCCCATTTGTTTAATTAAGACTTTTATCTGATTGATCTAAAAAGTTGTTTTGGATTGAGTTTTTTTTTAAAATTACTTATGTGTGATTAATAAATCAAAATGAAGTTTAACTTAGATACTATTTTATATTATGGCAGTTTTGAGATATATTTTTCTATTTAAATTTTTAATATTTCAAAAATTTTATCGTTACAGTCTTTTCTATCAGAGAAGTATGGCCATCCCAACCTGCCAACTGTATTTAGTAAGGAGGAATTTGAAGCCATTCTCAGTGCAGTTGAAAAAGAGCGTGATGCAGAAATTGCAAATTTTGTTACTGAGCAAACACGGCACTTGTCCATTGCTAATCCCAAAGAGATGATTATGCAGTTGACCAATCAGAAAAACAGGGAAAGCAGTCAAGATATAGTGGTTAAAATGAAGAAAAGTGCATCTAATCCAAGTGTTCCCTCATATGCGCCCTCCCCTAGACGTAGTTTGCAGAATCCATTTTCATCTGGAATGGGAGGGTTAGCAGCCATTGCTAAAGTGGTAAGTTTTTTCTAGAGAATTTTATATTTAACTTTTTTAAAAAACTTTTTGTACATGTTTTGCTTCTTTCTTTAATGCATTCTTCACTTCATTTCAACTATGAATTTAAAGTGAAAGGAGACACTATGAGATTGGGTAGTTACAGTTACATTTATGTATTTTATAAGTCACCACAAAGAAAGCAAAAGCTGCACTTGTTTTTTGTGCTGTTTTCATTATATTCTTGATGTAAAGGAAAATAGTTAATAGAATAACTCTACTTTCTCAAAGAATTAAGATGGTCATTTACAAGCTTTTTATTGTTAATAACAAGACCATGGTTTTCAAGGTAAACTGTTTGAGCTTGATGTAATAGTTTTAAAAGCCTGTTTAGAGATATAAATAGATATCTGTATCTAAAAAATGTTGTTCGACTTGCTAATGGAATCTGTGTCTTTTCTCTCTCTCTCTACAATTTGGTTTTCAACATCTTTGTTGTAGATAGGAATTTATATGATATGAAGATATGTTGCAGTCACATTTCACATTAAAAGTAAACTTTCTTAAAGGGATACCTACGTTCTCATCGTATGAGATCCATATTTCCCAATAAATTCATTCCAAACAACTCATAGTAATATAATAAAATTAATTCTGTTTTACCACCATAGATGGCTACCCTCTGTTATACAGATAATAATCTCTTAAGAGCAAACTTTTTACAAAAAAAAAAAAATGGAATATGTCAGAAGTTCAGAACAAATTCATTAACCATTGGTAAGTATGGAAATATTGTCATTTACCTCAGGAAAATCCCTTTTTTCCAAATGAACAATTGTTATCCCTTTAAGATAAGACACAGCATGACAGTCTATCTACACATCTATAGATATCAGCAATTTTAATATCATGATATATTGGCTGTCAGTCTTTGAGTTTTGGATTGCTGCATGTTACTGTGAATATTGTGCTTGATTAGCAGTTAGAAATTGCATTAGATTATAAAACAGGACTTGAATAAAGTTACCAATAACCATCTCAAATTGCACAACATTCTCATGAAAATTTATGCTAATAGTACACAAAAAGATGCATGTTTACAGTTGTTTAAAAAGCTTTACATGTAGGTTTTGTTAGTAACTATTTCTAGTTTTATATGAAGCATTCGGTAATCTTAGGATGAAATATCAAGGTTTTTTCTGGTATTTTTTAAAAAATAATTATTTGAACTCTGGAACTTATGTTTTATTCTTTTTCACTTATGGATAGATTTATACAGCAAGCTATGACTAATTGCCTTTTATCTATGATACATGGTAGTAAATGTATAAATTGGAATGATATTTTGTTTTTCTTTGATTAAAATTAATTTTGTCTTACGTTCAATTTAAAACCTCAAAAGGCTAAAGCAGTGAAGGTATGATTTTGTCTAGCAATACTTTTGTGATCTAATTTGTAACTGGGCATATATTTGTCATTTTGACCTCTATAGATTGTGCGTCTCTTTATATAGTTAACAAGCAGTCATTAAATATTTGTGTTAGTGTATATGTGAGGGGTTGAAAATTTTTATTTATCTCTATTCTTCTCTGAGTTGCTATCAAGTGTAATGATTTGAGTTTTACCATCCTTCCCAGTATCCATGTTTTATCTAACTCACATGAATCAATGTTACTCATTTGAAATATTCAATTACATATCTCTATTTTTTCATTACATTGCTGTAACATTACAATGAAGAATTTAATAATATAGATAAACCTCAAAATTTATAGAACTTCTACTTCATGCAGATGTGTAAAGACATGTTTGATTGCTAGCATGTGAAACATTTATCTAATCAAAAAGTAAAATAAGTACTTAATCTCTTGCATAATAGCTCATTTTTGTGGCTTTACAAGCATGTCATATTGAACATGTCCTTGTGACTTCAGGCTATTAGAACTCAAGAAAATGAAGGTATACAAGAAAACCCTTTCCAAGGTTTGGAGGATCTGGAACTCCTGCAGGAGTGCTACGCTCTTGACACCAACACCTCACCACATGTATACAGATTACAAAATATCAGGTGAGAAACACTTTTAAGTTATTTCTTCCTTAATGCTTCTTGAAATATTGTTGTAAAATATATGAAAATAATGAAAATGATTAGGTACAAATTTCAGAATAAATTTCAATCATATGAACTGTAATTGCATTATATCAAGTTAAACATTTTAAGTATTGCAATTATTATTATTTTTATTTATCATTAAAAATAAGTTGTAATAATTTTATCACAATAAATTATTTTATATTTATATTATAATCACAATTAAATGATTTTTATCAGATTAATTGTCTCCCTTACACACAATTCATGATGGGTAAAAATAATTGAAAAATGCCTATGGCTAACCTCCACTCCACATTGCAATTATAGTTTAATCTTTTGCTATTTATTTTTAGTGCTCACTTCCCAGACTTCACTGAGAAGGATGCCAGTAGAGTCAAACTTGCCCTGGACCAGTGGCAGCATGCTGCAAGGAGACTGTTGGGTGTCCTGCAGAAGTACAGCAAGATGGCCAAGGTCGACCAGAGAACAATAAGAAAACTATGCATCTCATGTACGTATATAGACATTGGTAATATAGCTGAAGATGGTAACTGGTTTTAAAAGTATAAAATGAGGAAGATTTTTAAAATTCTGATTTAATTTTTACTGAAACATTTTTTGATAAAACTGAAATATTTGGTTTAAATTGAAATTCCAAATGAGTCAGCATTACAGTTTATGGTCGGTGAATGTATGATGTATTTTACCCTTCTAATAAATGACCATTTTAGACGCTGTTAGAAGTAACATATTTAACCTAAGTAAGTTTAGGTTGGTTTTTATCTACAGTTTAATTATAATCATCAGTGTATCCCATATGGTATTATAGCATAGCCTACTATTCTGTGGTATTTTGATATTGAATGGCTGATTTTTCTGTAACTGTCCACATTTACAGTACAAGAAGAGGAAAACAGTCGAGGATTCTTTGAGAATGAGAACCACCAGAATTGTGCCTGGTTTTACAGATGTTTCAGTGACATTCAACTCCAAGACAGCAAAGCTGGAGACTATGTGGACCTGATTCAGCCTGGGACCAAGGATCCAGATAAAGATGTTGCATTACAGGAACTGGTGGACAAGATGTGCATGGTTGAGGTAGGGAAATATTGGATGAAAAGATGATGTAAAGATCAGTATGGGGGAGAAATGGGGAGATTTTTATGTGTTTGTGTGAGGGAGAGTGGTCAATTGCAAGGGTGATATGGCAGCTGTGTGTGTGTGTGTTAAATTATTTAAAGTGATTATTTTAACTGGAACAGTTTTCAGCCTCAAATACAAATGGTAAGCTGCAAAATATATAGACTTATACATTGATGACATTTTTATGCAGCTTCCCAAGAACCACTACCATCGCTTCTTGATTCCCTGGGCATTTGATGGATTCAACCCTGAAGGCAATCGTCCGAAAAATAGGGAGCACAATATATATGCAAAGAAGATGTGTCGCAGCTTCCAAGATGTGGTAGAGCACTATATAGAAAGCCTTCCATATGCCACTGCAAGTTCAATTAATAGCTTGAGTGGTGTATATGAGAAGCATGTGACTGACATTGTCCAGCATGCTAATTTTTGCATTGAAAGGTAAGCCTAGGGTATTTTTTTATTCCGTTATTCATTTTGATCTGATTTGTAATTATCATGTATGACAATTATATATTATGACACTTACTTCTGTTGAATCGAATTATTACCTTAAATAATTATAATTATCAAACAAACAAAGCAGAAAAAGGTTCACAGTGTCAGACATAGTGCTAATTATTTTATATTTAGGGCAAAGAGATTCTATGGAAGAAGTGATCAACTTCATTCGACAAGAAATTTATTGTGGTCTACCAGAAGCTCACCAATTGTTGTACATGGCAAGCCAGGGATGGGCACATCTTCTTTGCTATCCACCATTGCTTGTTCAGCAACAGAGTGGATGAAAAGGTAGAAAAAACATTGCAGTTATTGTTTAGACAACAACAGGCAACTGAAAAGATGCTTCACCTTTAACTCTGTATAGTCAGCTATATATTTGATACACTGGCCAGTGTGCCATGCCAATTGACATCTTGATATTTGATGCACATTAGTTAAGGTTAAATAAATGCACTGCAGCTTGCTTCTCTCAGGTTCCTTTGTGTAGCAGAATCAAGCATTTTGGTTGACAAATTGTTATAATTTTAATACATAGGGAGGACCTCAGGGTGCTGTTCCGGAGTATTGGTCATACTTCCATGTCCACCAGCTTCCATACTTTGCTTCAGGGGCTGTGCTTCCAACTAAGGCAGATATTCAACTTGAATACAAGCGATTTGAAAAGCATGGTAAGTTATGCTTCCATACATGAATGGTATTCTCTTTAACTCTCATAAGGCATTTTATTTTACTAGTTTGAGAGCAAATTTGAAAAACTTAAAAGAAATCAGTTGTGATTGGTTGCCTTAATTGCTTAAGTATGCTATGTATAAAACATACTGATTGCATTATAAATGGTGAGAAAATTGACTGTAGGTTAATAATGTTGAGAAATTTAAGGTCTTGGTGATAGAGTTTTAGATAAGGCAAAAAAAAACATAAAAAAAGGAAAGTTTAGATTGTTTAATATTTTGAATGGAATGATACAGAGCTTTTAGGTTAAATATATTTGATATGTGGGCTGAAATTAAAATTTCATGCCATGAATACTTTCTGGAATCCTACAGCAATGGGCAACAATTGTTTCCAATATGCAGTGTGTAGTATGAACAAAATGTTGAAAATTGATAATTTTTTTCCAGAATTTGAAATGGCTGATGAATGAATTTGACGACTTGCTGTCCCATGCAAATACAGATAAACCACTTCTCATTATTCTAGATGGGTTGGACAGGTTGATATTAGAACAGGGTAAGTGTTTGAAATATTACATACCATAGTAAACATAGAAAAATAATAGCCAGCATATCTGAAGTATTGAAAAGATTTAAGCTGTAGCATTGTATTCCACCTGTAATCATGGAGGTTTTCTCATAATTTTATTTTTTTTTTGTATTGGGGACAGAATCTAAATTTCTAACAGATCGTGGAATAAATGATTCAATGCTTAGGGTAATTTTTCATGTATAAACTGTGTGATTTACAGATTCTGCAAATGACCTTCAGTCTTGGATCCCTTCCAAACTACCAGACAATGTTCACATCGTGCTGTCGATGAATACAGGAAGTGAAATAATGAATCTTCTCCAACAAAAGATTCCTGCAGAAAAGTTCCTTGAAATCCTTCCATTGTCCGAAGAAGTTGCTTCCAATATGTTCTACCACTTCTTGCATGGGGAAGGCAGATGTGTTACAGATGCCCAACTTGATGTAGTATTAGAGGCATTCCAGCCAGAAACTACCCCCCTTCTTGTGTATATGGTGTTCAGAGAAGCCTGCAAGTGGACTTCCTTCACACACAACAAAATGAAGCTTGGCAAGACTGTACGAACCATGGCATTCAATTTTGCTGGTCATCTAGCTAAAGTACATGGGGAACTTTTGGTGAGACGCACCTTTGGTTTTCTTTGCACAGCCAAAAATGGCTTAACCCAGAGTGAATTACATGAACTGCTCACCCAGGATTCCAGAGTTATGGAGTTTGTGTCAACCTTGAACAAATCTTCCTTTCCAAGGCTTCCAAGTTTTATTCTGGTGCGTCTCCTCAACAACTTAACAGATGCAGGATATGTTACCAAGATCCTTGGTGATGGAGGGCAAGTGTTGTACAAATGGGCACACTGGTCTTTCCAAGAAGCATACACAGAAATGTACCTGAAGGGCAAAGAATTAGTGACATACCACAAGGCAATGGCAGCATATTTCTTAGGCAGGCCTCTGGAAGAGTCATCTGATACTGAGAAGTACAGAAAACAGTCAGGGTGTAATGAGCATGTAGAAGAAGGCACATATGGATTGGAAATCAAAAGATCGTACAACCTGAGACTTCTGAATGAGCTTCCACACCATTTGATAATGGCACAAGAGACCCTGCTGCTGAAGACCGAATGTCTTCTCAACTATGAGTGGTTACTGGCTAAACTGTGTTCCACTTCCCTGTGGGAGCTGCTGGATGATTACCACCAAGCTGAATCCAGTAATAGTGATGAAGGTTCTGACATGGAACTTTATTTAGTCATTGAGTCTCTCAAACGAGGTTGTCATGTTTTGACAAAGGATCCCCATCAGCTTGCTTCACAACTGATTGGAAGACTTTTTGACATAATGGCAAAAGATGTCCCAGCCACTTCTGAGGATCCAAGAAAGTACCCACACTTTCCTGCTCTGTTGGATGCCGCTGCAAAAAGTTCTATCCCAGTTATTGTTCCCTCTGCCACATGCCTTCTACCTCCTGGTTCCTTGACTGGATTAGAGTTAGGTGGACATCATGGGGCCATCACTGCTGTGACAGTCACCAATTCTGGCAAACAAGCTGTATCAGCATCCCTTGACAATACCCTGAAACTTTGGGATCTTCAAACTGGAAGAGTTACCAAGACAATCAAAGGAGTTGGGAAAGAAGCATATCACATTAAAATGGCCATGCAGGACAGGTATGCCATTGTATGTGAGACTTATTCTGTGCAAATTTGGAGTTTGGAAAAAGGTCATCTTGTCAGAGTAATAGAACAACTTGAGGATTACGTGATCCCAACAACAGCTTCTAATGGAACAATGTTGTTACTCTTTGTTGATGGTGGAGAAACCATGCATGTGTGGAATCTGGATGGTGAAGTGACACATGTCAACTCCTTTCACTTAGAGGAAAAAGATGAAAAGAAAGAAGAAGAAGAAAAAGCTAGAAAACAGAAGATGGAACAAGAACAAAAGAACAAGGTTCAGATTTGGCAGATGCTGGAAGAGGAAGAAGAAGATGAAGAGGATTTGGTTGAAGGTAGTCAAGATGATAAAAGTCCACCTGTTGAAGAAATTCCTGATGAAGAAGAAGTAACCCTTTCAGCCCACAGAGGAAGATCAACAACAGTATCCTCTTGTACCTATGGAGACCAGATTTTGCATGGTTTCCGTGGTGACACTAAAGCATATGCACACAATGTTCACACTGGCCAGTTAGCATACACTATCAACATCAATGACATTGCTGCAAGGCTACGAGCTGTTGGAACAACTCCCATGTACTTTGTGCTAGCTTGTCACTGTGATGACCACTTTATTTTTGAAATTTTTGACAACAGCACTGGTCTGTACATCCGAACCATCAAAGGTTGTGCTATGGATGCCAGTATTCAAGATGTTGAATTCAACAAGTCTGGATCTCATGCCATTGGTTTGGTAAGCTCTCAAAAAACTGGTGCTACCTATCTAGCTGTCTGGAACTTGGAGACTGAGGAACACAGACATTTGGGCTATCACTCTGGAATAACAAACCTGGCAGCATGTCTGAATTTGAGCTACTGTGTGACTGCATCATCAGCTTCCAACAACCTTATGGTATGGGACATCACTCTCGGTCTCAGCAAGAAAGTGCCAGTTCAGGGAGTTGTTGGCATTGAAGAAATTACAATTCTGGATGATAATCCTCGCTATGTGGTGGCTAAGCCAATGGACTGTAATGGGCCAGTGACAGTGTGGAACTTGTTCAAGACTCAGTGTAAAATCAGTGCTGTCTGTTCAGAGAGAGGTTTAGTAGAAGACATGGACCTTCTCCTGGTGAAGAACATGAATGTTGTTATCCTCACAGATTGCATGATCAACAAGTACGAAGAATATTTCACCTCCATTCTTGTGTTTAATCTGGAAACCAGACAGTATGATCGTATCTTGCATGGGGCCCACATAGATGTTGGCCTTTCAAATGAATATTTCATGCTAAATGGTGAGAGAGTTATGAGTCCATCTCCTGATAGGACTCACTTTGTCATATGGAGTTTAGAATCTGGCCAAACAGTCCTCAATATATATAAAGACAGATCCAAACTCTCTGATGTAATCAAGTCATCAGTCACATCTCATAGAAAGAGGGGTACAACTGCCAAAATGTTACCATGGCAAAGGAGATCAGAAACCAAAACTGGTCGACAAAGAAGGCACCAGAGAGAAATTCAAGATGAAAATGACCGCATAGAAGGACTCAAAAAGGGGAAAGAGAACTTGATTACTCAGTTTCTTGTCAGTGATGATGAAAAAATGATAGTGGCCTCATACTTTTCATGCTACCTGTGTGTGTTTGATATAACACGGGGGCGCCACATTCAAACGCTGGTTGATGACAAAGCAATTCTGACCTTAGATACATCTGCCTTGACATCAACTGGTGGCCACCTGGTGCACACCTACTATGATGATGTTGGAAAATTCAGCTGTGTTGTTGTATGGGACTGCATGACGGGAAAAGTTCATGCCAAACTTGAAGAAGAAGAAGGGGTATGTGCAGTTGCCATCAATGACAGTGCCACACAAGTTGTCTTTGGAAATATTTGCAATGAAATGGTTTGGTGGGATTTAGAAAACCAAGTCATGCACAAGCTTCCAACATACACAGGCTTCCAGTTAGACATTTACTCCACAATCTACATCCTGCATAACTCCAGTAAGGCAATGGTGCTAGCCAAGGACATATCTCTCTGGGATTTCAAAAAAGGAATTCTCTCAGTCTTCACTCCAGATGTCAAGATACAGTGCTCAAAAGTTGTATTGAATAGAACTGCTATAGCATTTGGGCTTCCAAATTCTCCCACAGTTGTTACCTTAAAATATTCAGCTGATAACACACAGGGCTCATCACTTGCTGAGGCTACTAACGGACAGGAGTTGTTTGGAGAAACTCACAGCGACAGTGAGGATAGTGACTAAATCAATGATAACCAGTGCCCTCTTTTTGTTAAATGTCAGGTGTTTTATTGAATCAACTATTGCTTCTCAGTTCTACAACCTGGAAAACATTTTTTAAAAAGCCTCTTGCTTTGAACCAGGTGATCAGTAATGTGCATTACTCCCTTTTTGTAAAAGTAAAATCGTTGAGCCAGTATAGTAATTTCACTGTTGAAAAGTGACATGATATTTTAGACTCAGTATAACTTTGTAGGGAGAAGTAATGATTTCAGACACCAGAGATTCAACAAACAGCAGAGACCCTAAAATTAATCATTCATTAGATTTTTTTTCAACAAAAAAAAGCAATATCTTGTTTAATTTCTACATTTACAGCATCAGATTCAAGACTGTGCTAGTATTCCATGGAAAGATAAAATTGAAAAAGAATGATGCACCCACCACTTTGCTTTTTTGGTCCACGAAGAGATGTAACAGTTTGGAAATATATTTCATAATGTTGTTACGTGTACATACTCAAACATAAATCCTGTGACACTTATATATTAACTTCAGTTATAGAGATTTTCATGAATAAAAAGATGGACATATTTAAACACAAACCTTGTGTTCTTTCATATTTATTTGAATTTATTTAATTTTAGAGATTCACTTAAACACAGAATGGAACTGTTCATATCTATCACAAATAGTGATATTATAATTTTAATGAGCATATTGTGATAAACCTCACGTTTAAATAAGTTATGTTTGTAATACCAAATCTTACGAGTGGTTCTTGTAACACTGGTAGCTCACGCATGGATGTCTTGCCAATGATCCCAAGTTTTAAGTTCTCTGTACAGTGTGTCTCCTGGACTTGCAAAGGGAGCAACCTGGCAGTGCCCTAACAGTACATAATTTTCCTCTAAGAAACCATTTTCTACCGAGTTTTTCAGAAAAGCCTTTAAAGCCCATAAGGCCCTTGGACTAGGTAGGCGGTAACTGAAGTCTCCCATGAAGGCAATGCCCCAAGAGTTCAAATTCCACCTGAAATGTGAGGATATATAATTTTTCTTAAAGCCTTAGTAATATTTTAAGCAAAAAAAAAAAAAAAAAGCTTCTGAATGAAGGGAAATAAAAAATGGAAATAATAACAGCCACAAAAAGGAATTTTTCATGTCAAACAGGAATAGAAAAATGTTGGACACAGACTACCGAAGTTGCCAAAGAGTTGCAGAGATTACCATAAACAGTAATGGCATTTCCAGTGATATAAATAACTCTGGATGATAAAGGCACAGAATATCTGATTCATGACATTTTTTTTGTATATATTACCCTTTGGTGTGTGACCCAGCAATTGATGGTCCCCGACCTTCATACACTCTGCCATCATCTGCTATGTGGTAATTGTATGCAATATCTGACCAACCTGAAAAGAAAAAACTTTTACCTTAACTTATGTATGCACTTAAACATTATTTTGCTTCAGGCAGCTCGAATGGTAACAGCAGAGTACACCGAGCAGGTTAACATACCTCATTACAGGATATTTACAAAAATCAAAATAAATATAAAATTGTACATATACTTCTTTTCACTACTGGACTATGTCATCAGTTTAAAATTATTTTGACACTTTAATTGAAATCATATAAAAATCATAATATTACAATAGGCCCATTTCTTTAAAGTGAATCTCACCTCTATCAGCCATGTGCCTTTGCTGTATGCCTCGTAAAATACCTGAGCATGCTTCCACGGACTCGCATAATCCAGACACTGTGTGCGCTATAATAACATACTTGACTGGGATGAGCAAGGGGCTCATGGGTCCGGAGGCTTCTCTGGCACCCCATTCTCTCCTGGAGACAATTTGCACTGTACTAGGGTCAGAAAAACCTGTAAAAGATCTTTTCAAGATAACTATGCATTTTTTCTTTTATTTCAAATACAAGCATTTCATTAGCTGTTGACCATAGAAAATATATTGTATATAATATATTGTTAAAATAATCCTCTATAATTAGTGAATATTACATCTTCAATATTTTAAGTACAGTATATGTACAAAGTGAAGCCAATATACTTGTACTCAATTTGTTAGTACGGTAAGTTTTACAAGACAAAATTTTACCAACAGTGTTATATGTGTGAATTTTTTTCTGTGCTTCATACCACATTTTATTGTTTCATGCAGCCTTGATGCCTGGTGCTGTAACATTTCCTTCACCAATGTTACTCCCACTACTGTTATCATAAAGGTTAATAGAAGCAAAGAAAAAGATCCTAAATTAGCCATACCAAACTGTAACATGTCAATTAGACCCAAAATAGATTTGGGTAATTTGTCTCTTAAAACCATCCCCATGCTAGCTGCTACCACTAAGACAACAATGACTGTCACGGCATGTTCCACTCGTCTTATTCTGGTATGCAAGCCTTCTTTTAAATTTTGCTCTTCCTGTTCTTGGTTTTTCAATCGTGTGATGTATTCCTGTTCCTTCTCTGGATCAATGGTTATGTTTTTAACAGAATCCAGTTGTTCTGTTGTTACACCCAAGTTGAGTACACTGATTGTGATTGACTGCCACATAAGTTCATAATCAGAGTCTGTAATATTCACTGACTTCGAGTGTGCCAGACTGTTTCGATAAAATTTAATCTCAATCAGATCCAATATTTGTCTTGGTAGATCGGGAGAAGATCTGGCTGCCTGAAGGTTGTTCCAAACATCAGATTTGGGCTCAGGAACATCAGACGTCTTAGGGTGCAGGTCTCTAATTAAACTAAACAAAAGTGTGATATCAAAATTGTTCAAACATGTCGCAGGCATTGTGCCTCCCGGAGGAAATAACAAATCAAATTGGGTCTTATTAAGTTTCCTTTTGCTTAACATGCCTTCTAAAATGACTCTGTTACTAGAGAGAAACTGCTGTAGAGATGTACCAGATGGAAGCAGTATCTTCTTGAAATACTGCCTCATTGCCTCTGTCCCAAGTTCTATGACAAGAAAACAAAGCCTTGCATATTTTCCGAGGTTTATGGTGCCAGAGCTTTCCATTTTACCGTATGGGAATAGCTGCGGCTTTACACTTGACCTGTATATACTCCCAGTATTAATAGTCGGTGTACCACAGTTTGCAACTTATCTCAACATGGCACTGTCTGGAGTAAGTTTTCATACGGTTTTAGTTCACCCGTTGCGGCAGTCTTAAAGCCGCGAAAGGTGCCTTTCACCTCCAACTTAAATTTCAGGCCTGATGCCGGGTGAATGATAACGATTAGTAACCCAATTATGCTACTACTAACTTGCACTTTCCTTTTTTTCTCGGCTCCGTCTCTTTTCACTAGAGAGCAGGGTCGTTGCTTTGGAAATTTCGTAAATTTATCAGTTGAATACTTATTGCTATTTCTTCACATATTTATTCAAAAATAACAATTGCGAGCCACTGTATTTTTGTTTATCTCGATATATTACTTGTACATGTTAGAAGTAAGTTGACCTTCACCTTGCGATGATGCTCTATTCATTTGTGATCGTGTGGCATCCGTTTAAATTCATTAGGGGGCAGTGCTGCACCTGACTATGAGAAGTATGTGAAGTCACATTTTTCTGGGACATATCGACTTTTAAACTACCATTTTCTGCCGAATGTTTTAAATATTATACAGAACTTTGAGAAAAGCTGAACGTAAGAGGGATTTTTACTTGCAGAAGGCCGTTCGTCGCTATAAAGGTGAAGTTGAATAAATCTATTCTCTGAAATGGCATCTGTTCATGGCCTGCCCGATTTACCGAAATGCTTGAGTGGACTTGCAAATGCCACGAGTTCGCAGTGGAAAGAAGAAGAAAGGCTTCATTCTATGAGGGCACAACTACAAGCTGACCTCAGCGAAAGCCAGCAACAGATGCAAAATTTGAAAAGTTTACAAAGAAATGCCCACCACAATGAGGATGGTGAAATTATGGTGAATTTCCCCCCAGCAGATGCTTGGAATGGATTGAACTCAGTGAAGCGAAGTAGATTAAGTTTAGATGCTGCAATAACTCAACTAAGGAAAGAAATGGTAATATTTTAAATATACACATGTCATGTACGTGTACTAATAGTAAGGATCTCTGTTTGGCCTTTAAGGTTTCGTCTTGACCATATTAACCTAGTCTGAGTAATCATAACTGCTCCAAATCTTGGAGCATTTAACTCTTTATAGTAAAATTCTTCAAAAACTATTGCAATGCTTGTGAACAGTACAATTAACATTAGCTAACATTTTCACTGTTCAAATCAAATGGACATAGATATTTTGCAGGTGCCTCAATTCTGTTAAAATTTTTGTGGTGTGGCATACTAGTGTGCAAACTTTGCAAAAACTTTATATTAAACTGAGCGTTGGACTTGCAATTACTGCCATTCTTGATAATGAATTGATCAGATTATATATATGTGACATTTATTGTAGGATCTTTTTGCCTGTAAATGTGCCAAAATCAGCATGTGTATTTTCAATTTCAAGACATTTTTTTAAATATTGACAAATTTTCATTTGGTTTGAACCTGTTTCATCATTTATTAATGAAAATTAGGAACTCTCGACACCCAAGACAATGACATCCTCTCTGACGCAATACTTGCAGAAGGAATTTTAGTGTTATGTTCATTTGCTTGTAATGCAAGTGTATACTTATATTTTTTACATTTATATTGGTCAACCATTATTTATGAATATTTCTTTTTTCAATTCCAGGTTACCTTAAGGCAGTTGGACATGTCTCTTCTGTGCCAGCTTTGGGCACTAAATGAATCAATCCAGGACTATAAACAAATGGCACAAGAAAGGATGTTTTCTGAGACCAATTCTGAATGTTCATACAGCCACGAGGCAGGACTAGACACAATAAGTGACCATGATGAATCTGATGTTGAATATATGAGGAGTTGTGATGAGGATGGTATTGCCAGGGATGACTCCGGGATATCTGGCATATCAAGTAATACAGGGTCCTATGGCAATGTTATCAGTCAATCTAGTAGTGGGCATAAATGGAAACAAACAAAGTGCTGATCATGAATCATGGTGGAGTGTTAACATTGTGGTAATATGGAGTAGGATAACCAAATCAGCTAATATAGTGCAATATACATGGTGTTCACATTACCTCTGACTTGGTACTGATATGAAGAAGAACATTGCAAATCCAGAGCCCTATTTCACAAAAAAATATTAACAAAGTTGGCATGGTGTTCTGTGTTTTTTAATATGACTGCACATATCACAAGCAAATACCTTTTTTAGACCTCATGAATGATTAGCTCCCTCAAATAAATTTAACTTTCCAGAGGTGCCACTCAAGTCATTTTGTAAAATGTGACACAATTTGACTGCATTAAAACAACTTTGAAAAAAGTTATACAGTCAAGTAATAATAACTTGGATGGCATGCTCTTTTCCTTCAAAATAAAACTCATTCATTAGGATGTAAGACTTTATTTAAAAATGTGTGGGACATTTCAGTCAGACTGCCATGTTATTTAACTCATATTTGTATCATGTTTATGATTTTTAACAATTGATTTCTGAATTTATAAAGGACTCGTGAAGTATATTGAGGTGACTTACTAGTATGTGTTCCCAAGGTAACAAAAAATTGATTACCATAATACATTTTTGAATTATAATTAAATGATTTCCTGATCATAGATAGTTATAGTTGGAGTGATTTTAACATTGCTAACCATCACACAATTAATGTTACGTTGCATTTGTATATTAATAAAGTTTATTTATTTCTCAATTAACTATATAAAGAACAGCTTATCACATTGTATTGAAATGACAGAAAAATGTTACCCCTGCAGATTTCTAAAAAGAATTTCCCAAAGAAGCCCAATTTGGGTTGAAATGAGAGTTGACAATAAATGAGGACAGTCAAGGGACAATCTTGGTAAGGTTGAATACGCATTCTCTTAAAAAGTTATTAAGGTAGGTGTAGGCAAAGTAACTATAGTATAAAGGAAGCACTATTGTCAGGAAGAAAACCCATTTGAGGTACAGTTATTTCAACTAGAATGCCGAAATGAATTAAAATGTGGATATATATAACATCCAAACTTCCCTAAATGCAAGGATAAATATATTCTCTCTTGACCAAGATTTCATTGCTATGTGCAGTAGATAATGAATACTATGAGCTGAGCCACTGGCCTAAAGAGGGCATAGCACCACCTTGTGCCATCCAAGGCCAAAACAAAAGGGGGGGAGGGGGGGCTAGCTTGTGTTATGGCATGCACCAAATTTTATTTGCTATAGCAAAAACAGCTTTGGTCAGGTGCTTTTATCAGTTCTGCATACCAAAGTGGAACTAGATGGGAGGAGAATTTTTAGCATTGCATAATATTAAATTGTTTGCAAGTAAATAAATTACCTTTAAGACCTGCAATAGGAATATGATAGCATATTGAAAGATTCGATTTGAAAATAGTACTAATGATGCAAGTGTAATTTATTGCTTTTATTTATTTTTTTTTAATCAGTATTATACAGCAGCATTTAATTTTGTTTCAAATTCAGAATTTATGAACATGCACCTGCCTGGTTTTTATTTCTTATCATAGTGTATTAATCCATTGCATTTTTATTTAAATTTTTGTCCTCAATTATGTATACATGTTAGTTGTGCAATAAGCACTTCAATATTTTGTTGAAAAAAAGAGCATTTTCACATCAGTATGTATTAGAGAAAAAATCAGTAACCATGACGAAGATGATTGCAAACACAGGTCCACAGTGATGCCATTATCTCAGCATTAATTTTCATATTGGGGCAGTCCTATGTTTAATTTTATGGTAGAAATGTACCTGTTTGTTTCATAAATTATAAGTGCAAACTTTGAATACCCATCTTATGTATTTCTTTCCAAAGGGAAAAAAAACTAAAAATGGGATTTTACTGATTTTTCCATTGGGAAAAACAAAAGCGGTATTATTGACAGCATTCTAGTGCACTCAGGCTACCACTTTGAAATCCAAACCCAAAATCCTCCTTTTGTTCTCACACACAAATTATTTTTAAGCAGAAATAAAAATTTCATCACTTTTTTAGGATAACAGTTCCAGCTATTTAAGATGCAAATGTAAACATATTAAAAATTTTAATCCCACACTAAATAGCCCAACAACTGACACCTTTTAAAAATGTAGATAGTAGGAATTTAACAAAGTGAAATGACAGAATGATATGTAAAGATTTTGATTGCTTTGCTTTCTACAATTCCAAAGATCCAATCCAAAATGGTTCATTATATATTAGACTAATTAATTTATATTATTATTATTGTTGATAGTTTTAGAAATAAAATGTTTTAAGTTTATTTTAAATTTCATTTTTATTTATGTACTGACAAATAGCACAATAAAAATATGTTTATTAATAAACTGTCTTATATCTTCTTAATCATAATATTTCATACCATATACCAGAATAGGAAAAGTCAAGAGGACATAAGACTCAGAACAACGGAGTTAGAATGCTACTATGGATTTGATGAAGTTGAACCTCTGCTGCATTATAACTAAACACATGTATATCCATGCTTTGGCTTATATGGGTTATAATATTTAAATTTAACATAGTTTTATAAAAAATGCTTGATTGTGGTTGTTACATTTGTTAAACCAGAAGCATGGGGAAAATCTCTAATTGTTCATCATATGGGAAATGTTGCTTCAAATTTTCTGACAGCTTTCACCACAATATATGAGCACTTTGACTGAATGTTTGTAGCCATCCAGTAAAATAAGATGCAGGAATATGTATCAGTCAAATTCTGAATTCTAAATTTTCTTTATGCTGCAGGAACTTACATTCAAGGACTGACAGTTGGGATGACACCTCAACATTGGTTTGCTATTAAATGATTGATACATTTTTCTTGATATCAATATTATATATATATATATATATATATATATATAATGTTGGTTATAATGACAGGTTTGTGTCACGTGTGTTTTGAGTCCTGATCTTGTAGGTTATGGTGCAGAGAATTAAGCAGTACACGCAGAACACTGTCAATGACATTTAGTCCCTTACTTGTGGCGCACAAGCTGAAAATAAATGAGATGAATAATTTTACCTGTCTTAAATGGCAGCCCAAATCATTTTGAGAATAAATTATTTCACATACATCATTTATAACTACAGCAATATAAATTTCACAGAATGAGGTTCCAAAACAGAATTATCAATACAATTATATTTAAACATGCACACATTTGTTGCCACTTTTAAAAATTATACATTAGATTATAATTTGTGCCTTTTATAAATTCATTTTCTTAATACTAACACTTTTCCTCTACTGCTACCAATTATACTTCTTAAAGTTATTTATCTTTATCAAATTACAATTGGAAAAAGTAAACAACTGCTTGCATGTGCACAAATGTGATAATTAAGCTACCTCTCCTCATCAAGCCTGAGTAATCCTAAGTCCACAAAATCTTGAACATCTTCATTACAAGCAAATATATCTTGAATGGATGAGTTGCTAAATTTCTGCCAATGCTGCAGTCAGAAAAAATAATATATTGACTAATTATTCTATTGTTCTATTAGGGTACATGTAAAAGGTCTCTTTTAAGATGTACTAAGGGGCAGATCTGACAGCCTTCCAAATTATCTTTGTTGATAAATCCTCCATTTCTGACTTTCTTCCGAAAGAAAAAATGAGATGCCCATCAATGTAAACTTAAAAGATCTGACCATCTTCTGGAAGACCCAGAAGATTGGTTATGTCCACCCTGGTACTTTTCATGGTTAGCCCCTTCTCTAAAACTGATTTCATGAATTTCAACATGTAAGGAATACCTTAAACTGTTTACGAGTCTAAAAGACGAGAGTAACTTACCACATTCGATATTCCCTCTTTAGTTCTCAATCCCAGCATTAAGATTTCTTCCAGTCTATAATGAAAGTGTAAAAAATAGGTTAATGCAAAAATCATTCGTACAGTACATTGTACACCAAAACAAATCTGCTACATTTCTGAAAATTATTTTCATTTATCCCTCTATAAACATGGTAGGTTCTGGCACTTACAAGTGCTAGTTAATATTTTAAGTCGCTGTTGCTATGTAAAGCAAGTGTCAGGTGAAAGGGAGAAGAAGGTGCGCTGACATACATATCATTTGTCTCTTGGATAACTCTCTTTCTGGTGCCATCTCCATACTTTTCCACTTCAGTCATCCATGGCTGAGGTTCAAGGGTTTGAATTCTTGCCTCACGATGTCTTCCCTCTTTGGTATGGACAAGAAATCGGCCATGTGCCCCTGAAACACAGCACAGCAAATTATGAGTATTTTATCACATTACCATGGGCAGGGCCTTCTCCTTGATCTTTAATTTATAATAGGTCTACAGGCCTCAATGCAAGCATGTAACACATAATCTTCTTTCATCAGACTGATACATGTACTATCATGTACATTGAAAATGAGCCAAAAAGTTGCACCATGCATTAAGCAAAACTGGTTCAAATACCTCTCTCATTGTCTAAAAATAAAATAAATTTTAAGGACTGAGTGCTAAAAATTACCAGGCCCAACACCAATATAATTGTCTCCTCTCCAATAGGCTTGGTTATGGGTACTTCTTGCATTCTGAAACATTATGGGTAAGAAGCAACAGTACAGACAGAAATAAGTGGTGAAAGTATGGAAAATTACTTATAATTATTTATGAAAATGAAACAGGTGCATGATAATCTGTGATTACTTAGTGTATCATATTTCATTTACAAATTATAGTCAGATGCCACATAGAATAAAAATGCAGTTTTTTTCTTCCCAACAAATCATTAAAGATTAAATGAATAATTCAATTGAATATATATTACAACATATAAGACAAGGGTTAATTTGATTACATCATTTTTCTGCAATTTCTCCTGGCTTTTGTTCAACATAAATTTTACAGGAGATTTTAAATCAGTTACTGTGTCAACTATTTACCTTCCTTGCAAAATTTGAAACTTCATATCGTTCAAACCCAGCATCTTCAAGTACCTTAAAAATGTTTTCAAACTATAGAAAGTTTTTAAAATATCATAGATATAGATATTAAAATATCAATGTTATAATTATTTATATTTTAATATCTATATCATAGATATAGATATTAAAATATAAATAATTATAGCATTTCAAGGTGCAAATACAAAGAGGCAACATTTAATGGTCTCAAACAAAAGGTTTAGCTATAAAGAAGTGGATGTGCAGAGTAGTGGGGTAGGGGTGTTAAGAGTGGAGTTGGAGAAATAAGTGAATTTTTACCTGAACAGCCAGTTCATACATTTCTGCAACAACATCATCATCTGGCATTACCTAAAAAATTCATTAAAATATCTAAATAAGACCAATGTGCTTGACAACAATACTGACTGTGTCATAAACTGGACCTAAGTCTTCCAAAAAAAAAAAAACTTAATTTAATCTCCATAATAAATAAATTTACATAAGCCCAAGGCTTAAATTAATGTAAGAATATGATGGAAATGAAAATAAAATAACCAATTTAGAAAAATCACCATAAATAAATACTTATAAACAGAGATGAAATTAAGAAAAGCTTTCAGAGCAGTACAAATTTTACTTACATAATGTCCCATCATGATATCTTTAAATAAAGCAGTGCCTCTCTCAAGTGTTAACTGGTATAAGGAGATGTGGTTATCTGCTACATTTATAGCCTAAAAATAGATCATAGAGCAATGATCATCAAGTTATGTTTATGAGAATTTACAATGATAAACCATTTGAAAGTAAAATGAAAATTGATGAAGAAAAGAAGGCATTAATTAATGAAAACCTTTCATAACTGTGTTTCATGTTAAAGAAAAAATTCTTATACCTGTTTCAAGTCTGATTCCCATTCACTGATGGATTGTTCAGGAAGGCCAAATATTAGATCTAAAGAAGTTTTCCCAGGAAACACCGACTTTGCCTCTTCAATACACCTGGAAACATATCAATTTAATTTCTCTTTGGTTCACTATGAGCCAAAAAGAAATCAAACAACACAAAAATACACTCTATTATAAACTATGGTTCACTTTAGGTACCACACAAATATTCAAATAAATATGAGAAACATTTTCATATCCTTATTACTATTAATTTGTAATCCTCTTGATATAATGCTATGTATTGTTTCCAACCATGTTCAGTGCAACCAACATAAATTCAGGTAGGAGGCTTTACCTGACAGCATCTTCTCCAGAGTGTTCTCTTCCCAGCAGTTTCAGAAATTTATGACTAAAGGACTAAATCAAGAAGGAATATGTACTAGATGTATGAAGATTTCCAAAATTTGAATAAAATCAAATAATAAATTTGCATTGTCAATACTTCTAATTTCAGCTATTTAAACTACTTTTAGGTACAGCACAGTAATAATTAAATAGACAACTTATCAATCAAAAAAAAAAAAAAAATGCACATGCTAAAAAATTGTACTACTTTCTTCTCTTATGTTTTTATTGTTAGAAAATGTTCACAACATCGCTGTGCATTAATTGACTACCACTTTGAAAATTAAAGAAGAGTTTAAATATTGCTACCTGTGTTCCTACTGAGAGTCTGTTGACTCCAGCTTGTTTCATCTCTCTGAAAAAAGAATAATTATCAAAAGTAGCTTCATGTAAACCAAATTTGATGCAAATCATGAAATAAACCAAGGTTTCCTGTTGATATTTCATTTTGATATATGTATCAATAAGATAACTTTTTCTGGTGAAAAGTCACTCATCTATATAAAAATTATTTTCTCACCTAATTTTTTTAGTCTCTAAAAGAGTTGGGTTGGCTTCAAGAGATACTTCTGCATCTCCTGGTAACAGAGCACAGGCAGCAGCAGTTTCTACCACCCTCTGCAGGGTCTGTGGCTGTGCAAGACTGGGAGTTCCTGATAAAGTCAAATGATATGTTGTAAATTAGGGGCAGATGAAAGCCGTCTTCTGAAAGATGGTCAGAAATTGTCAAGTTTACATTGACATGCCTCTAATTTTTTTTGTTGGAAGATGGTCAAAAATCTAGGACGGATCAACAAAGAAGGTTTGAAAGACTTAAAAAATCTCTCTGGATCCACCCCTGTAAATGTTCATCAAATTTAGCACCATAATGCATATATAAATGTAACAACTTTTTCACTTTAAAGCTATATATATATATATATATATATATATATATATATATATATATATATATATATGGAAAGATGTTTAGAAAAGACAAGAAAGACATATATATATATATATATATATATATATATATATATATATATATATATATATATATATATATATATATATATATACAGAAAGACAAGAAAACGAACAAAGTTAATCTGTTCTCTCCATTTTAATTAATATAAGTCCCTACAGCTGTTTCGGCCCAGAGGCCTTGTCAGGGGCGCAAACAGATCGAAATAAAAAAGACCAATATATATATATATATATTGATCATGACTTACCTCCGCCAAAGAAAATAGAACCTATTTTCTTAACACCACTCACTTTGGTCAAACTTTGAATCTCCTTTTCTAAACATCTTTCCATTCTTCTGTGATCAACATTATTGCTAAGAAAATAAAATCAACATCTATTTTATAAAAATGCTTTGGGAAACAAAGTTAATTGAAATATCTATGACTAAGAATTTAGAAAATATATGATATTCAAAGGGCATTCTGCATGATTCAGAATTTAATCCAGATTGCATTTTTAAATGAAAGTAATGTGTATAAACACGAAAACTCCAATCATGAATTCATTTTTACATTTATAATACTTACTTGATATATTTATTGAAGTTACAATATGTACACCTTTTTGAGCAATATGGCCACTGCAATGTAAAAATAGGTTGTCATGCTCATTTTCATAGCATTTGCTTTAATTTTCAATTTACACACTTTCTTCTTATCACCACTCATATAACTTTAATTCAATTGAAAACATTTATTTCTTTCATATTTTTATTACCCTATATCTATAAAAGCAGGCCATCATTAAGTTTCTTACGATGTTGCACAAAAGCAGCATCTCCCAATAAGACAATAAATCATTCTTACATGAACATACAGAGTTGCAGTGTCTTCCCACGCGTTTAAAGTAAAATTCTTGTCATTCTTTGAAGAGCTTCCAACCTTTGACGCCATTCTGGAAACATGGGAAGTGAAGTAAGTGCCACTAAGAATCCTGTTGCCGATGTTACACACTGTCCCCGTCCGTGGCACGCCAATCCATCGTCTATAACCTGCACTAGTGTAAGTCAGCCGACAGCTACATGTAACGTTACTCAAACGCATACACATGTAACGAGAGCATTTCATGTTTATATGACTAGTAAAACTAAGTAGCACCTAAAGTTATATGCACATCTGTTTATACAAAAGTTTTTGGACTTTCATATGTGACAAAATATGTTCTCCACCGTTATACTTTACGTTCCAGATCTAAATGTTTTAGACAAAACTGTTACTCTTGCAAAAATGAAACCTTTCATACATTCCCTCCCTCGCGCAACTTCCTGTTTATTGCTACATTTCCGGTCTGTTGGCAAGCTTAACGTCTCCAACTGCTCCAGCTCCATAATTTACCTCAGGATGCGACGGTGTTTACTTTCCTGAGAATTCAATTAAGTATTCTTGGCATTATGCTGATTTAAAGAAGTCATCATGGGGACAGAATTTTTATCGAATTTAACAGGATCTCTATACCCAGTTGAACTTGAAGTCGCTGGCTCAACCCACTCGACTTGTTCGTGTATGCTACCGCAATTTCTCAAAGATTATTCAGCAGCCTCTTTAGCTGATATAACTGCCCAAAAAATTGTCATGGATTCAAGTTTAACATTGAAATCAATTCGTTCGATCCCGGCTGAATTGTGCATAACTTTAATGAGAGCTGCACTTGGAAGAAATAGAGATCGCGCCATGGAGGTCTTGCTTGCTCATTGGCCTTATGCGGTCTTATCGGTTCGAGACCTGGCACCTGATTTGTTTCAAGGAGTATCCCAGGTTTACAATGTAGAGAATGCAAAAGATCATATGCGAATGGCAGTCAAGTACACTACAACTTTGGCCCATACCTTTGTGGAGTGTTTAAAGAAAAGGACACCCACAAAATTAAAGTACTTGGACATGTCTGGTTTTCCAGCAGGTTAACATATTTTCTTCTTGTATTTTTTTTCATAAGGCTTAGATTTATTTCTTATCTTCTGCTCAGCAAGAGAAGTTAATGGGAGAGACTTCAAGAGACTTAATTTCTAACTTTTTTCAATATCACAAAGATGTTATGGTCACCATGATTATTTAACATGAAAAAGAAAATTTATAGCATAGGTTTCTGGTTTCTTTAACACTTTTAAGTGCTTATTGATCATCACTATAACCTATGAATTAATTTACATTTAAAAGGCATTTTTTAAATTTTGCCTTGAGATAAGTGAGAGTATGTATTCCTTCCATTTGCACTTCACTTACTAGTTGATATGCAATACTCGAGCAGGGGTATTAATTTGATTATAATCAAAATGGATGTGATATGCATTTCAGCGGAAATCATTGTGCAGTACCTAGCATCCCACTGTTTACTTGTGTACAATGAAGGAAAGCAAAAGGAAGTTATTGCTGCTTACAACAATATAATGAAAGAATCTATGGATGATTCAGAAAGAACAGTGTATACTGTAGATGAAACATTGCCACCTGATGACAGTTGTAAGTATAACCAAAAGTAATCTGTAATTGAAACCATTTCAGACCAGAAATGTGTTGAGATTAAATTCTTTTGCATTTATCCGGATATTTATGCTGTATTTATGTCCCCAAATTGAGCTGTGGGCCTTCAGTGCTAGCATTTTCAGGATTTCTGCAAAAGGTCCTCTTTCATCTCTTTTCAACTCAGTATGAATATTAGTGAAGTAACAAACAAGCAAAAGTTTATTTTGTAGAAAAAAATTAATCTCATTTGTCAACATTACTTTTCATCTGAAAACTTTAAAAAAGTATCGTAAGTGTCATCAGTTTTCTAAAGAACACACTTTGTCTTGATATGAAGCGATCTAACCTTCCTAAATCTACAGTCATGAAATGTGGCCCAACATATTTTTATGCAACCTCCAAGGTACTTCATTTATTATTGTTGGTGTGTATTTGTTGGTCAATTAGATAATGACGTTTCCTTGCATTACAGATAGAATTCAACTTGATGCCTGTGTTACCAATGGAGAGAACCACATGGAGCTATGTAAGGCATTAAAGGTCTCTCAGTTCCAGAATGTCCACTTTGGTGTACAAGTGACCAAAATGGATGCCACCTGCATTGGTGAGGCCAGACTTACCATCCTGCTGCAATATTTGATACCTGAGGTAGTACATCACAAATCTACTTTGATATAATTTATCTTTTTCTGATGTGCTGTATAAATGAAAAATGTCTTATTTTTTTACGTGGATGTCTTTTTTATAGGTTGAAATTTTACTTGTGTAGTCATTCTTAAATTTATTTTATGTTCATTTTTTTATTTCAACTTTTTATTGAGGCTGTCTCTTTTACTCAATAAAAAGCATATCTTTTTAAGTCACTTCTACAAGATTTTTCCATCCTTTATTTCAGCACCTATTAGGACTGAGGCTCAAGTATAATGCCCTTACTGAAGATGGGATTGTGCGCCTTGCTCCACTTATTTCTCGATTTTACAAAATCACAGCCCTGGACTTATCTTGCAACAACATCAATTGGCAAAAACATCATGAAGCATGTGAAGCACTGATGTCTATGTTTAAAGAATTGAAATGTTTGAAGAGGTTAGATTTGAGTAACAATAGATTAAAACACAAACTGTGGGTCACAGGGTATATAGTGCAGCCTTTACAGTACTTGCGTGTTGCTGGATGTTGCTTGAATGAAACGGATGTCAGCTTTCTTGTGAGGTCTCATCATTCTGCAGGAATAACAGAGTTAGATTTAAGTGAAAATGTGCTGGGGACATTGTCTTTCACTTCACTTGGTGAACTGTTTTCAAATTTTTCAAATCTGATTGTTCTAGAATTGGAATCCTGTTCATTCAAGACCTCCCATCTCATGGACCTTTTGAAAGGTATATGTTTATTAAGAAAGCTGAAATACATCAATATTTGTCAGAATGCTTTTGATCGATTTGAACTACTTGAAAGCATTCAAATGATGCAACCATTTCCACTCTGCTTAGAACACCTAAGATTATCCTTTCCCACTGATGTCAGTGAGGAGAACTGTGATGAAGCAGGTTACGAATTTGAAAAAGAATTCCTTAGATCACTTGCAGCATTGGCAAAGCAATCAACAAAAGAGGGGATATTTGGGGTAGAATTTGATGTGCTAGATCGCAGTCATTTTATTTAAATTGCAATGTTAATTATGGAGAGAGTTTCCATGGTTGAATTATGAATTAACTGTATGAATGAATGATTGTTTACTATTTTTAGTGGAGAGAAATTGGGTCAGCTTAAAAAACAATTTTCTTAATGCATGTTTATTTATGCCATTTAAAAGTATCAATATGGTACACCTGAAGGAAAAAACTTTTTGATCCTTTGGACAGGCAAAGTGAAAATGATACTTTTATAAAATTGGAAATGATCATGTCTGTTTTTATAACATTTTATTTATTTTTGTCACATAGAAAGCATGAGAGGTAAAGTTTTCCTGATAACAGTTTTTGTTTTATTTTTATTTTCTCATTATCAGTACGTTTATGCACATTTGTCATACAAGAAAGAAAGAGAAAAAAGTTTTCATGATAAGTTTTTTATACTTCATTATCAGTATGTTTATGCATGCGTGTGAAAAGTGATAGGACGCAACTACTGTACATTTGTATGAATTATCAGGAGAAAAGAAAATGATGAAAATAATATTTGATGTCAAAGTATTGCACTATGAATGCGCGTGTTGACCTGATTTTTTTACCTGTCGCAACTAACACAATATCCATAAAATTTCCTTGTAATGAATGTCTTGTTACAGTAGTTTTACATTTCTTGGAGCAGTGCGGCAACACTTTTTATGTTTTAAACATTTACAATAAACTAAAGTGACATTCCTTCGTCACAAAAGGAACGAGTGCAATCACTGTGCTCCGGAAATGTGACACACTAGTATGAGACAAATGACACATTCTTGTGGGAAGCACTTGCGACCAATCACCTGTTGGTGCGTAGGTCATGTGACCGGTAGGGTATTTTAAACCATAGTAGTGGCATTCACCCTCGAATGCTCAACAACAATAGGAATTTTACTGTTCTGGATTCTACCGAGCCGATCAAACTACCTTGAAGTATTGGGAAAGTTATTAGAAGATCTACCACACAAAGATAACGATATGTACACCTGTTGGAAAAGTTTTTTTCAACAAAATTGAAAGAAACGAGTGCCCGTGTATTTCAACATGGCCGACTACAGCACGCGTATGGGAGTACCACTTTGTTTACACCTTGGATATTAGAAAAGCTGAAGTTTCGAAATAACGATGACAGCGGTTACCACAGGAGAAGGAATGTGATACTTTTAAAAATAAGTTCGAGTGTTGAAAAGTTCTAGAAAATTTTATACGTTTTGAGTACACGCCAAAGAAACTGACGTAAACTAAGGAACCTAAACTAAGCCTCTGATTTCTGTGTCAAGTGCCCAGACACAATAATTTATCAGAAGTGGTACCCTGTATTTTTCTAGAAAAAAGAATTTGATCATGTTGACCAGGACTTATTTCCATAAATTTTCAAGATGGTTAATGGTGCTATCTGTGATTGCAGGACATACAATCTATTCAGGTTTGTATACATCTGATTAGGCAGTATGATGATTTATATAATTGTAACATTATAATTAGAAATGCATAAGACAAACAAACCATGTTAATGCTGTCATTGAAAGTAATTTCCTATTTTATTTGCCTGTAGGTTATAGGCCAAAACATTACAAATGAAGTGATATTTATGATTGAATCCAGGAAATTTGCAGATAATTAGGACTTCATGGCATTAGTTTCTAAACCCTTATATGTCAGTATTGTAAGATGATTGCCCATTTAGGTTGATAAGTGGATCAGTAAAATAGCATTACTAGCATATCATAAATAAATAGATATACAGGTAAACTTGAAACCACAGTATGGGTCGTTAAAAAAATAATAATAAATGGACATCATCTAAATTCCTTTAAATTAGAATGCTGTGAAGAAAAGACAACATGACAAGAAAAAAATTTGTGTAGAAATAATAATGTTAAAAGGCTCTTATTATAAATTTACATTTTAAATATATCACCCCCAACAGGTGGAAGAATACAGGATATATTAAGAAGGCATTTGATGATTCAGGTTGAGATGGTGTTGATAATTTGCCTCCTTGACTTTAATTGCAGCACAAATATCTTGTCATACAGATAGATATAAGTCTCCTGCTTTTACATACTGTGGAATACTGCGAAAAGTGCTAGCTTTCAATACCTGTGCTTTTGTTTGCTTAAAGTTTACATGGTAATTTATCTCTGGCAAACATGTTTTTTTCATAGCTGTTCAAGTGATCTAGTTGGGTTTCTTCGACCCAAACTGGCAGATTTACTGCAAGATATACTTAAGATGTACGTGTAAAATATATTTTTTGAAAACTGACATTTTTCTGCATTCCTCCTATAATCATATCTAGTCAGAACCCCACATACACCCCCTGTCTGTAGATAATACTACAGCAATTATATGATTCATGCTTCTCTCTGTACTACAATCATTGAACAATTAGATCACAATCACTGCTAACATGGCACATATGCCTCTCTGATAAGACTAGAAGGTAAAGTTACAATAGGTATAATTTTAGATCTGAGAGAATAGCAGATAAAGAAATATTTTGTTCACTAAGCAGGATGTCAGATCTGACCCAAGTTAATGTACTATTGTGTACATTGCTAATGTAATTATTATATTAATTATAGTTGTATTGGTTATGTCTTAATCTCAGTGCTTCTGAGTGCAAATTTACTTATTCCAGTGAGACTTGATTAAGTCGCATTACATCATTAAAAGCCCAAGAAAATCTTGGGAGATATCTCCATTTACCAATGGATTAATTAAGGCGATTAGCATGATTAAATGAGAACCCCCTGTGTAGGACTGCAGATGTAGAATGTAGCACATCTGGCTCTGAAGGCATTGATATGGTATTTTCACCTGCTGTCTGGTCTACTTCACTGCTAGTCTTGATAGACTGCCTACCTGTGCCCTATTTGTAATAAGGCGATGAGTCAGGGCTTTGTCACGACTGCCATGGGTGTCTTTGTGTGTATATACAGATGGTAGTTCAATTGCTTATATACCATTGGAAATATTGAATTGTTTGTTTAAGGGGCTACTGATTTAAGAATATTGAAAACAAAAAGAATACCTTTGGTATTGATTGTTAGGTATGGCAGGAATGTAGTTTAGTTGCTATACAGACTGCTGATAAGAAATCTAGATCCAGAAATAGGGTCAAGTGAATCTTATCTAGCCTTGTTGTAAAGCACTCTGCACAGTTTCACTTACTTGATATCTAAAACACATAAAATCTGTAATTATGTTTCATATGGTTAAACATTTCAAGGACTTGATTATTGCAATAACCAACACTTAACAGCTATAAGGACATTTTTGTATGCATACATGTACAGATAATGATTATTGGTCTCAAAAGGTGTAACACATTGACTCTCCTGTTGAGGTGAATGTATCCATGGTCTTGAACACTTTAAGCATCTCTTTGTACATTACCACTCATTTTTGATGATAATCAATTCAAAGAAATATGATACAGTGTGCATCATACCATATTCTTGATAATATGATATTATTTTTTCTTTAACAGGTTACGCTCAATCCCCTCCTTCGAGGTTTTTAAGTTCAAATCAACAAGAAAGTACAGAATGGGTGGGAAACAACAAACTTTTAATGTGCCAAGCTACTGGGGATCCCCCGCCATTATACAGCTGGTTAAAAAATGGACAGTTTATATATAGAAATATCAGTCGGACTTCGATAAGACTGACAAATATTCAAGTAGCGGATGCTGGAGAATACCAGTGCCTTGCTTCTAACCCCCATGGTGCAATACTCAGTAGTAAGGTGCAAATACATGTAGCGTGTAAGTATGAAACCTGAATTTCTCACCAGTTGTTTCTTTCTTTGAACATCTTTGACGATACGTGTTGGGTTAAGCACTCAAAGGTAAAAAGAACTTTCCTAGTTGGGGGGGGGGGGGGGACTGTAAAGCTTGTTTGAACTTTTCTTAGTTATGGGGGGTCTGTACAGTTTCTACCCACATAAAATTATCTAAGAAATCTCCAATAGAATCTGGTTTGATGTAAGGAATTGTCACATTAATCAAGCAAGTGCTAAGCCTCGTCTTGTAAAGTAAAATTTGAATCTAAATGAGAAAAAAAAGACTTGATTTAGCTGCTAAGTATTTTATTGAATCATGAAAAAACCTTGGATAAAATTGTTTTTAATGTTATCAGCTCCAGTTAGTGGCCCTCTGAACTTGCTGCCTTCCTGAAAGGTGATCTATTGCCTGTAACAATTTCCTAATGTCGGCATAAAGGAGGACTAATATCAATGGCACTTATTCATGGAGGCATGAAAGATGCTGATAAATGATTCATAGTTGTCACTCCACTTACTTACATTTGATAAATTTGTATCACACACACACATTACTGTAGACATGGGTGTTAAAATCAAGAAACCTATGGTCCTGGATGTATTTTCATGATTTCAGGGTTTACAGTGTTTTGTATTGCACCGGTCCATTATGCCTCATTTGTGTTTTTCAATGCATTTTAAACTGAAGTCATTATACATCAGAAACATGTAACAATTCAAAGAATGATGTTTTGTTTTCATATCCAGACGTGGTATTTTGTGCTGTATTTTCTCTTTTATCTAGGATTTTGGTTTTGTTATTTGATAATACTATTTGTTTACTCGAAATTGCATGAACAACTATTGGAATTAGATTGCCAAGTCTGTTTTGTAATCAGTAAGTTTTCAGTGTAATATTTTCTTTGTTTGGTCATGTTTCACATTTGCCTTTAAACTTATGAATGATTGTAGGTTTGATGAAGTATTTTTATTTTAGATTTAGGAACTTTCCCCACCCGTTCCACAAGTGAAGATGTAACAGTCAGTGAAGGCAGTGCAGCCATTATAAACTTACCAACAATAAATAGCTACCCTGCTGCCTCTGTCCAGTGGTTTGAAGCGGGAATTTTAATCAACCCAGCATCTTGGACAAGGCATTATGTAACATTGAAAAATAACCTAGTTGTCACAGAAACTTCCCAACAAGATGCCAAAAGTTTCCATGCAGTAGCAAAAAATACTTATTTACCTCAAGAGGAGAGACAGACTCACAACTTTATCCTCAGGGTGCAAGGTGGGTGCTCGTGTACATTATTCACTAAAATAAATAACTCACAACGAGACTTGTCTTTTATTTTGTATATTTTTGAAATAAAGAGGAGAGAAAACAGTTTAAGGCCTTAAAGTGGGCATCTTAAACTATAAAGAATATTCCATTGGAAATTTGTAGAACAGGGATGAATTGTAAGATGAAGCAATTTTGTAAACTCAAAGTAAGGAACTATTTATGGGAATTTGGAAATAAGAATGTTTCTGGCATCATCAATAGCATTCTAGTAATTGCCACCCACATGTCTGTCAAATTCTAAAGGAAAAAAATATTTTTTATTGATCATTTCCCTTCCACTTGGCCAGGTGAATGGGTGCATGCATGTAAAAAGAGACATAACATGCCTTTTGGACATGGGTTAAGGGTGTTGAAAAAAAATGGTTTATTTAACAAAAATGTTAGAAAATAGTTTTCTATGCTGCAGTGCCAGGAATACATTGGTTGGTAATCAATTTATGGGAGCAGCAACATACGGTAATTGCAGTATTTTTGGTGGGGAGATTATTTTTTTTTCATTTCCTAAGGCAGACAAGGAAATTTAAATTCATGCTTTTATTGTTAGAGTTCATACCTGGGGCCAAAATTGCTTTGGCAGAGAGGTCATTTTTTAAGCCTAATTCTGACAGATATAAAGAGTTGTATTGAATATAAAAAGGTTGGACCATGGCTATTAAGTGTTTTTAAAATTGGTAAGAGTTCAAACTTTTAAAAGCAAGAGAAATGTGTTATTTGAATAAAGAATGGGAGATGCCTCCTGGCAATAGCAAAAATAGAAATTTTGTATAAATTGTATATCACCACTTAGATGACTGTGATTATGTAGCCTTTGTTAATATTGTACTGTTAGCAGTATTTGAACATTTACATAGAATAACCGAATAACATTTACAATTGTTAGTATTTTTTCAGTTAATAAGCTATTAAAACATAAGAAAGAGCTAGGTGTCTGATAAATCTTCAGATAGAAAAAAAATAGTAGAAAGCATTCTGGCTGATCAGGTGTGTGAACATGTACTTTTTACTCTCTCTATAAGCTAGCTTGTTGCCTTAATAACTTAATCCAGTACTTGTTCGTATTAGCCAAGAGGGAGTTTCTTTAACTGGATCAAATTTGGTTTAAGAGGTGCCATGTGCTGTTTGTTATTATGCCCTGCAGGTTTGTGAGGGCTTGATAAATGCACACAGCTGATAGGTATTCTCCAGAAGGCAAAGTGAAAGAAATATTGTTTTCCAGAAATGCAAGTGTTTATTCCCAAATGCTCAGCAAGTGTTTTTGTGCATGTATGAATCTGTATATGTTTCTGAATGTGTGCAAGAACTCATAAGTTGCATATTGCAAATAGTATTTTGTATATTACCTTGTTAAATTCATGGTTCTAAAACAATATTTTTTCTTCAAGGCACCAATGACCGATCTTCTATTTCACCGGAGATTGTTGTACCCCCAGAAGATGTAACAGTAGCTGAAGGAACAAGTCTCCCCATAAAATTGGAGTGTGTGGCCAATGCAAAGTAAATATCAATATGTAAAATTCCATAAATGTTTACTTAACAGTCTATATAAGACCAGTAAATATTATGAATGTCATCTAGAAGCTTTTAATTACCCTTTATCAACCCCTGTTCATGAGCATAATTTAATTGTGGCACACTTTTCTCATCAAAAGTGGATAGTATGTTTACTTGAATATTTAACAGTTTAAGATATAATTATTACATGCAAATGTTGGAGGTCCTTGGTGCACTTTTTTGATAATAAGGAACCTCAATTTTCTTTTACATTAATTTGCCAAGAATAAAAATTGCCACCACTTTTCAGCTGGGGTTAAAGATACTTCCAAGTGAGTATTTTGTGGCACCTTGTAGTTTAGTATTATGTAAACATTACATAGGTTTGCTTTTTTCTCTTAATTTCCCTTTTGTCTTCAGACCCAGAAATTATTTGACTACCCTGTGGTTCAGAAAGAATGGTAATCAGAGGACAGCAATCAATCATGACAATAATAGGAACATTCTGCAGTACAACAACAGGACTCTGACCATCTTCAATCCGACCACTCAGGATGCGGGGGTGTACCAGTGTGAGGCAGTACTTACTGAACCAGGACAGACCCACCCTACAGCTCAGGCTGAGGCCACAGTTACTGTACTTGGTATGTATCCTGGGTTAGACATTATTACCACACCCAGAGGTGGACTATCTTTAGTGGAAAAGTGCAACTTACGTCACCAGACTACTAAGGGACCTTTATTTTGCTATGATTTTACATCTCATTTTAAGCTGTCTGGGGTTCTGGATTTGGTTAGCTATTCTGGCTCAAACCACTGTAGGCAAGGGTTTTCTTTTGCTTATTTAGTATTGTCCAAAAGCTTTTATTCTACTGATTTTTTTTGGAGATAAGTATTAACTTTCCTATTACCTAAACCAAAAATATTGTGGTCATAAGTAGAACTGTTTGTGTTAACTTAAATACACAGTATCCACTGTGAAGTTTAATCACTTGAGATGTATCTTGTGGTAAATGATGAACTCTGATTAGTTGTTACAAAAACCTTTTGGTCTAGTCTTCAGGTAGCACCCCCCACCCCCACCCACCCATGTCATCTTTCAATAATCCTAGAGTTATGCATTTAACATCTTGTGGGTTGGACATCAGAGAGATTATATAAAGAAATGCAATCAAGTGACTACTAAAATATTTAATAAGATCTAAAAGTTCTTAAAATTGCTGCAAATGATGGCATTTAGCATCAGGAACATGTGCACTCTGTGGCATTTCCAAGTAACACTGCTACTGGTGGTATTGTGATTTTGATCCCAGACAACAATGTACAGACTCATCATGCTGTTTGTTGGATAAGCAATATAACTGTTTATCTTACACAGAAAAGTTCAACTGTCTTTATTATCAATTGATTTGAGAGGTAAAAAGTTGTGGTGCATCATGTAAATATTGTCTGCATTGTACTGAACTATGCATGATTATTTATTTATTTATTTATAACAGTACATAATAAGCAGGTGTCATATGCATTTTTTTTTCAGGCTTGCTGAGATTTGGTAACCTTTCTCCCTCAGTCCTATCTAAAGATTTTGGTGAGACTGTTTACATTCTGTGCAACTACACTGGTAATTCAGGGGCAACTCTGTCTTGGTACAAGAATGGAGTTGACATACAGACTCTGAATAATCCAAGGTACATAATCTCACAAATAGGTCGCTTATCTCACTTGATGTTTACATATGAGCAAGTTGTTTGTCAATGAACATTCTGTCTTAAAAAAGTCTGCCAATGCATATTTACAAAAAAGATATATTCTCTTAATTTATTAATTTTTTCTAAATGTTTTTCTTTTATCAGAAACTTTGCTAAATAGAAAAGATCACCTAAAGTCTGTTTGTGTTTGAAGTCATAGTATTAACACATTTACTTTTTGTGAAAAAGTTTCAACTTTCTTTCAAGACAGGGTGTCACTTATCTTTTCTTGATTTTAGGTTTGAGCCTCAGACATCTGGATCACTGAAGATCAATGGATTGGATCCAGATGATGCAGGGATGTTTCAGTGTTTTGCATCTAACATGGCCAATTCCATCAACTTTGCAGTTTGGCTGCAGGTTCAAAGTAAGTTTGTTTGAATATAGATTGTTATGTAGGAAGAGAAATTAAAAGAAAATTTGTGATTGTTTGTGTAGCACTTACGTCATGAAGATTAGGAAGGATTTAAGTCACGATTCCAGACAAATTGGGTCTCCCTATCTTGAATGACCCAACTGAACGAAAACTCATTTTAATAAAATGCAATAGACAGAAAATACAGTCCCTTTTATGTCTTATCTATTTCTATTGTAATCCAGGTAAGTTTAGTGCTTAAATATTTGTTGTCTGAGGTGGGTTAAACTGGGTTAGGTTGATTCAGCGTATTACTGGAAACCCCACTTCTGATATCTTAATCCTCTTTTAGTGCCAAAGTTTCATGTTTTTATTGCAAATGTTTGGTGTATTTAGATGTCAAAGATATTACAGTATATACAGCATTGGAAGTTTTGGCATTGTTTGAAAAGCGTCTGTTATCTTTTGGCAACTTTGGCATCCACGTTGTTTGCAGAGGAGCTCTAGATAAGGACCATTTTAGGTTGACGTGTAATTTATTGAAAGGGAAATTGGCACTGTATAGAGTACAATCTATGATTAAACTGTTGCCATCTTTGTGTAATAGCAATATTAACGTTAGCCATGTTATGTATTTATCATCGCCATTTACTTGTAGGTGTTTTTAAGGCACAGTATTATTTTAATGCTTGGTTAATTTCTTCAAACTGCACACCATTGAAAATATTTGAAGTCGAACTATTATGCAATGAGGCAATTGTACAAAGGATGTAAAAATATATAGTCTTGCTTCAACAAAGATACTAAATGGGGAAGAAATGTTTTTTACATCATAAGCCACAGTACAGTAAGTGTATACAATTCTGCTGAATACTTCTGTAGATTGGTTACAGAACAGCTGTTATAACTCTTTACCATGGTTAGGGGCAATTCAAAAGGATAAGTGTTAAGTGGAGGAATTAGATCTCTTTGCTACAATCACCTGTTCAGGTAAAAAAAAATCACAGAAATGCTGACAGGATCATATTCACCTGCACAGTGCTTTGCATTAAGTTTTGAGATAAGCTGTGTTTATGCACCATCAATACACCTGTAATTTGACAAAAAAAGTAATCCCTTGAGTTTTCAGATGAAAATCAATTGAATTGATGTGGCTAATTTAGAAAGACATTATCTTGCCAGTTGGAATTCATGCTGAAGAAATTGGTTATCATATTTATGCGTGCACAGTCATTTAGAAGTTCATCTCTCGGCTTTATTGTGTAGATTGATTAGGAAATCTAATGCAGGGGCTCTGCTCAAAGACTAGTTCATTGCAGAGGAATTCAATTTGATCATTGGAAACATAGCTGATAGTTGTGGTTTAACCCCTAAGTATGGGTGTAAACTATCATACACTTTGAATGATATTTCAGAAGCAAGGGAGATTAGAACCAACAGCACACATTATTATACATAATTGTTCTAACACAGCAAAGAATAAGGTATGAGCAGACTTTTGTTACTTGTATTAGCCATTAATTCCATGCTAATGATCCCGTGCCTAGGTTCTGCGCCAGTTTTTGTGAGGAGTCCAAGGAATATCTCCATTGTGGAGGGCCAAGATGCACGGTTCCCATGTGAAGCCAATGGAGCCCCCAAACCATCTGTTCACTGGACAAAAGGTAAAGTAATTGTTTTCTTTTAGGGGAAGGTTTTTTTTTTTTAGCTGAAAGATACATCTGTTCATTTTAAATGAAATTTCCATCTTCTGTTTCCTAGACTAGGTGTGAATTTTTTTTCACTGTTATATCTGCAGAAGTGATATCTTTTACTATTGAAGCACAAATATTTCTAATTTTTGGCTTTAGTTGTAATTTTTATGGTAAGCAAATATTGAATTTTTTTAAAAAGTTTCCTAGTTTTTTGGGGAAGTATGCTTAAGTAAGCTTAGTTCAGGTTTTTTATTTTTGCTTTTTTGTTTTTATTTTTTTATCATTATTTTTGAGTATTTATGTCTTTATTATTACATATTCTGCAAATATTAAATATTATTATTTAACTCATTGTGTTGAGACCTGAAATTGTATGTTGAATTTTTTTTATTGTCCTTAATGCCTCTTCTCCACCTCTCCACCACCACCCCCCACCACCCAGAAAATAGTATGATTAAAGATTGATGCAGTAAAAAGAATTTATCTTGCTTGAATACATCCTGTTTCAAGGCAGCTGGATTGATGAGTTCAGTGCCTCTTGAAAGGTATTCATTTATCATAGCGTGTCAGACTTGTAAGATCATGGAGTTACACAATACATAGTTCTAGCAATTCTTTTCACAAGAATAAGATGCTGGTGATGTGTTATCAGTGTAGTCTAAAAAGATATTAAATATGCCATAATTTCTAATTTGACTGTTCTTTTCTTCTCTGTGTGATCATGGTCGATTCTCTTCTGTATTGCAATAAGCAATTTCTTTATTGGCTTTGTAGGTTGAAAACATCTTACTTTTCTCAATATGAAAGGTACTGACAGTGTGATATATTGTGTTTAGCTCACATGTTAGCAGTGGTAGCCAGGTGTGCCTACAATGTTCTGAGTGCAGAGCTCATTGTTCTTATGTGAAGTTATTCTTGTTAATTGAGAACAACATGTTGGCCTGGAGAACATGCCCAAGGGAACATTAGCAGGTGTAATATCTGATACATAGGGGGCAGTAAATGTCATGTGTCTGTCAGACTCGGGTTCACTTTTGATGCTTTTGCTAAAATGGAGCAGATAGTTTCCCTGTTATCTTACTGACGAACAAAGATTTTGCATAGTGGGTTATTTTGGAAATGTTCAGAGGTATATCCCTTGTTGCTACTTCTTCAATCTATAGAAGAGATTGCCCAATTTGCTGGAAACTTAGCTCTCCCACAGATCCTACTTTTTGTTCTCTATATGTGGCCAGCTTTGAAGTGCACTTCCCAACAGTTTTAAAGAATATTGCTAAAGGTCTCTCTCAGCCCTCTTATATTTACTCAATACTGATTGGCAAAGAAGCTAGTTATGTGTGTTAATCCAGCCAAAAACTAAGCCCAGTGTGTGTATGTGTTCTGAAGCCTCTGATACTTTTTTGATGAAGAGCAAAGGTTGTAATGTTTGACATGAAAAGGTCAAATCATAAAGTTTCGTGCTAGAATGTGTGACTCAGAAAAAATGCACATAGGCAATATATTATTTCACAGAGTTTTTTGTTTTTATTCATGAGAGGAGGAATATTTCCTGATCTTTTTGTTCAATTTTTGGGTCTAACCACAAATTAAAATATCTTTTTTATCCTTCAAACTTTCAGATTTCAAGTTATTCATTGAAATTGCTAAGCATGCCATTTTAACCAAAGAAAACATTTTAAAAGTATATGGATAATTTACTCGGGCCAAAAAAGAAATGTTATATTCAAAAGATAATTTGGAAGCTGAGGAATGGCTGACAATGAAACATAGCTTTTTCTTCTAAGTATCAGTCAAACTTCATTGGTCATATATCTTTTTACCATGTTTTTGCTTCTGTCTCAACAATTTCTTTAGTGTCTGTCATCACTGATGTGGTCTTTAGTGTGATTCAATTAAGTCCAGTTTCACCATGCATTTGAGTGGCAGATCAGGTGTTAGCAGCATGAATAGAATCCAAACTTGGAATACTCATACTTTGTTACTTGCTATAGTGGAAAATAAACAGACTGAGTCTCTTTGTGCTTGTTCTTCCTAACTGGGCAGTGAATCAGATTTGATTCAATGTTGGGTAGAGATGTTTTAGTTTTTCCAAAGAGAATTGAATATTCAGAAGAAGTTGGTCCCAGCATTTTGTTGAACTTGATTGAAAGTATACATGCTTAATAAGCACAGAGAAGAATTTATTTGGATACAAATTATTGGAATATGATATCCTGGGAGACTGTCTTAGATTTGTCATGAAATGTTGGCCATTGACAAGTTAAAAGGGTTCACAGAAGGCAAATTATAAGAGCTAATTGTCTGCTGTCTTGGCTAATCATGCTGAAAATTGCAAATCTTGCTGCAAAACTATACATTTGGTTAAAAACTGGCATTCAAAAAAGTAGAAAAAATTTATCTGCATTTATATAGCACTGAAAGCCTGTACCCGCTTCAATATTGACCTACTTAATGCAATACTTTAAGTCCCTCCTGCTCATAAGAGCATTTATCAAAGTCAACATGAGGTTTAAATGATAATCATAAGAAAATGCTTTAAATTTCTAGGGTTTTTTATCTGGACTTCATTCATCAAATATAAAAAACACTTAAACTATCTTTCAGACCTAGTTTTCTCTTAAGCTTATTGTTTTGAGTAATAAAATGGACTTTTATCATGCAGATTTCTAATTATATTGAGTCACAAGATATGAAAACTGGTTATTTTTATGATAATTAAAAAAATAAAACTCCTCATATATATCAGATAAGAAATGGGGAGCTTCTCATGTTGTCTTTTTATTTGTTGTCTGCTGAGTGCATAAGGTCATAGTCTGTCTTTATCTACAATCTCAACCTATCTGACATTGTGGTACTTTTTATCAGCACTTGAAATGCCAAATATTTGTCTAATGTTTAAGTGATTCTCCATATATTCTATTTGGAAAACAATACATGACATTAGGACTTGTTATTCATAATCTTTTTTATTTACATAATATCATTTTGAGCTTTTAAGAAAACAGCATGATGTTTTATAAGTTAACAGCAATCACATACTGAGTTTTGGTTTATTTTTACCTCATATTTTTTACCAACTAAAGTTTAAACTCTTTGTAAATAAAAACAATGTAAAAAATACAAATTTTGTTCATTCAAACATCGTTAATCCAAATATCTCTTCCATAGTAGGTAATTGTGATAACTGTCTTCATGTCTTTTCAGTATTGGATGATGGCACAGAACAAAATCTCACCACCTCTGGAAGGTACCAAGTCTTGGAGAGAGAATTGCTTATTGCTTCCTCTGAAAGTAGTGATACGGGGACCTATGTATGCTGGGCCTATAATTCTGTAGGGTCAGCTAGTGCGTCTGCATACCTTACTGTTACAAGTAAGTAAGATGCTTTTGAAGCTTTGTTGATGGGATCTCTTTTATATCTCTACAATAATTTGAGAAATAACTGATTAATAAGCATGGAGAGAAAAGGTAAAATATCCATACTTTCTGCCTTCTGTTATTCCTAAATTAATCAAAATGTCAATCACTTAAATGATTTGTCAGAATTTTCCAAAGATTTTGATCTAAATGCTCTATCTATTCATGGTAATGATAAGGTTATGCTTTCTTTGAAAAGTGATACATAAGTAGAACTAAGGATGGATGTTGAGTGTGAAAACAAAGTGAGTCCCTGCCAGTCCTGCAGTGTGCACATGTCTGTTTTCATTCTCAACAGATATCAGCCTGCCAAGCTGCTGCTGTCATCATCTGTTCAAATGCATTTCAATTGCTCTGTGTAGACAGGCAGCATGTGTTGTAATGGTTTAATGGACACGAGAAAGTGAAAGACAGACATGCTGCCTGACAGTTGTAAATGTTCCATTTTAAATGAAAAGAAAGATGTCATGTTGAGCTGTATTAAAACCGAGTTGTTATTATATCAGATAAGATTGAGAACATAGAATGGAATATTACAGGGTATTCTGTGGGAAGATTCAAACTTTTGTCAGAAGAATTCAGTAAAAAGTGCTTACTTCAGTAATAATTCAAGCTGTTGATTAGATGTGACACATAACTCACTTCAAGATTAACACAGTGGCTCTTATTAAATGCATACAAATAGATAATTTCCATATAATTTCATTTGAATGGCACAAAACTAAATTAAGTAATCTAGCTCTTCAGGAAATTAATTGAATTGGGCACTGAAGGCAACACAAGTCCAATCTCCTGAATTTCCATTTTTCTATGGTTTTTTCTTGCAAATTATCTTCCAATGCAATTCCTATTAATCATTGACATTTTTTGTTATTTCTATGTTTTCTAAGAATAATGTTTTTAGCATTTTTTCCTTTAATCAGTTAGTTTAAAACAATCAATTATTCTCATATTTGTTTATTTCCAGTTCGCACCCAAATCACCCAGCCCCCTCAAGACGCAGCTGCAGTTCTCGGAACCACCGCCACATTTCAGTGTGGAGTCGTACACGATCCACTGGTAGCTATCTCTGTCACCTGGTACATGCACATCAACAATCAGAGGAGTCTCATTGGCTCCGATCCAAGGTTTCAGGTAGCGAATGATGGGAGCCTGATCATCATGGCGGTGAACCAGGTGGATATTGGCACTTATGAATGTGTAGTGACATCAAAAGGTGGAAATGACAGCAGAACAGCTCAGCTGACTGTTATAGGTAAGAGCCTGGTCATCTTTGTAATAGTATGAAGTTTTGTAGGCAAGCTGAATGTTACAGATGAGAGCCTGCTCACTGTTGTGGTTATATTTAATTATTTGCACATATGGAAATGTTGTTTATCTGTTAGAAGATGCATCAAACTTGATACCTTGATGTTGACGTCGGGTGATAGTGAATAATTTTTTTTAATATCATTAATGCAAATTCAGACAATTTTTTTCCTTACCACAGAAAAACCAACCAAGCCTGCCATCATTAGAGTGGCTATTAACCCAACCAATCAGAAGAGTGTTGACATTCAGTGGGTAAAACCATTTGATGGTAACAGTCCAATCACCAAATACATTGTGCAGTTCAGAATATTGCCGGAAGGTGAGTATATTTCCTTTCCATTTAGTTATATTTTTTAAAATTAAAAAATAATTAAAATTATGTGTATAATTTAAGAGAAATGTGTATTTTAAGACTGTTTATGCTTGCTGAAAATGAGAACTGAGTGGACAACAACTGGATACTGTGTGTGTGCATGTGTGTGTGTGTATGTGTGTAGACTAAGACATTTGCGCATTATATGGCTGATTTTTTTTATCCAGTTTTGTTGACAAATGTTCTTTGCTTTTCCCAGGAAGCACACTTCCACCCAGTGAAGGTTGGACAACAGCAGATGACAATGTCCCTGTGCCTGCCGCACCCTCCCCTATCTATTACACAGTCAGTGGCCTGCAGCCTGCCAAAGTTTACCAGTTCCGTGTCAGTGCCATCAACAGAGTTGGAGAAGGGCCCTACAGCGATCCCAGTGAAACTGTCACCATACCTCAGCAGCGTACGTTAGCAACAAATCAGTTACAGTTGTAAATGTTAAAAACTTTAGAACAGGTTAAAAAAGGGGGAAAAACACGAAGTAACTTTTAGTTGGTTTTGCTGCAATTGTTGTTGTTGTCAAAAAAGGACTGATCTTTGGAAAAGTGATGTATTTCAGTGGTTTTTGTACACTAAACTGTACTTCAAATGTTAAACAGCATACCTTTCACTCTTCACAGCTCCCAGTTCTCCAGCCAGAGGTGTCCTTGGCAGGAGCAAATCCAACGATACCTTCTTCTTACAATGGCAGCCACCACAGGAGGACTTCTGGAACGGACCGCTGCGAGGATTCACCATCCGTTTCAGGCTTGCTGGCTACGATACCAACCCCTGGAACTACAGAAACTACACCATTGATAGGCCTATCACAGAAACCACCACATTCTACTACGATGTCACTGGACCGGGGGTGTTTGTGTTTCAGCAGTATGATGTCGGTGTGGCAGCTTTCAACGATAAGGGTGTTGGGGAGTATAGTGCTAGCATTCAGGTATGGACAGAGGAAGGAGTGCCTAGGCAACCACCATCAGCATTCTCAGTCCAGGCCGTCAATTCAACCAGTATCAGGGCACAGTGGGATCCTGTGGGATCACAATTTATGAATGGCATCAGTTTGGGATTCAAGTTGATCTATCGCAAAGTGAATGATGTTAGAGAACAAATTACTAATGTACCCATTGACCCAACAAATTACTATGGTACCCAGACTGGCTATATTGTAAACCTTGAGAAATTCACAGAGTATAAAGTGTCAGTGCTTTGCTATACCAGCAAAGGGGATGGTCCACGCAGCTCAACATTGAATGTTACAACAGCAGAAGATGGTGAGAATTTTTGAAATATAAATTTTTTAATGACTTCCACTATATTAAGTTGAGGCAAAATAAGTCATTGACACATGCACATTATTTTGTGCAAATCAGGCATAAAGGGAAAAGAAAATGAGATTTATGAATTTACTTGATGAACTTTGTCTTTTCTGTCCACATGCACTTTCTGACGGCCCGTAACTCTAAAGCATCATGCATTGCAACTGAGTGCAAGCATCTTGATTCAATAACTCGCCCATTCTCGCCCCATATAATACATTGTAACCTCTATGTGATATCGTTTTTCGCAATACCAGATGCTTTCAAGCNCTTGACTGAATAAACAAGCAATTGGATTCGTGAATTCTGAGTAATATGTTTTAAAATGTGTGTCTGTTCTCTTTTTAGTTCCTGACGAAGTTGGAAGCCTGATATTTCCAGTTGTACAGCATACATCCATTAAAGGCCAGTGGACAAGACCAGCCAATATTAATGGGATTTTACAAGGTTGGTGTTGTACAGATCAATATCAGTAGAAAAAGCATTGTGAGTCTCCTGAAACCTTTAATGATACAGATTTCACAGATGTAGATGATGCATAGTGGATACATAGCAAAGATATTATTTTTATATTACTCAGGTTATGTGCTTACCCACATGGTTAAGAACCAAACTGAAACCCAAGTGGTGTTGAATCTTGGCCCAGATATTCTGGAGTATGAAATCGGCAGTCTGACCCCAGAGACCGTGTACACTATTGAAGTAATGGCCAGGAGTAGAGTGGGACCTGGTCCAGCACGGACAGCAGATATCAAGTCTGGGGTGCCACCAGGTGAGTGCCAAGGGGAAAGGAATATGTGGTAGTTTTACCTATTAACAATATACAAAAGTGCACTTACTGAGGGTTGATATAGAGTATGGTGAAATAAGACATTGTCTTTAGAAAATATTTTAATCCTGTGTATAAAAGTTTTGTGGATCTTTATTTGTTCACCTTTAGAAATGCTCACGTAAGAGTGTTTTGGATCCAGGTTTCATTTCAGAAGTAGCTTTTTATGATTTGTGATATAATGTTAAACCTGTTGATTTTTTTCCAGAACCTCCTAATGCACCAACCAATGTGGGGGTTTCCAACATACTCTCCCGATCTGCTGTAATCCAGTTTGAACCTGGATATGATGGCAAAACCTCCATAACTAAGTGGATCATAGAAGCCCAGATAAGGTCTGCTGTGGCCTCTGTGAACCCTGAAACCCCATGGAAGAATGTCTTTAATACCAGTGCACCAGATGCCAAATCATTTGTTGTCCACAACTTACGACCATACACATATTACAGACTAAGGATAATTGCTCAGAATGTTGCTGGTATAAGTGCCCCTAGTGATCCAACCCGAGCATTTCAAACCACTCAAGACAGGCCAGAGTCTGCACCTAAGAATGTCACAGTTAGGGCAGTCAATGAAACTGCTATCAGAGTGAGCTGGATGGTGAGTTTTTTTTAATAGATTTATGTTGAAAATTTTAATGAAAGCAGTGACATTTATAAGTGATCATTTATTTGAAAAAGTGGGTTGAAGTGAGCTTGATTTATCAATAGCAGATTTTATAGTATGGAACTATTTGGGTTATGAAAAAAATCATTCTGTAAGAATACAGATGTATTTAAGAAATTAAAATGCATTGTCTTGTCTCATTTCATCAATTTCTACATAGAAGTGTTTATTTTTATTTGTAGCCTCTGCCAAGCAGTGAGTGGAATGGGGCACCAGAAGGATATAGGATTGAGTATAAGGCCAAGAATGCTCAAACATTTTCCATGATAGATATCAATGACATAAACATGAACAGTTACACTATTGTCGGGTTGGAAGAGTACACAGAATACCAGGGGCGTATGCAGGCCAGGAATGAAATCGATCTTGGACCCTACAGTGACCCTTTGGCCAAAGACAAAACATGGGAGTCAGGTAAGTTCTTGTTTCAAATGGGGGTGTGGAGAAAACTGTTTTTGGTTAGTTGTATTGATAAATAAGAGGCTTTTACTGCAGAGACAGAATTTAAAAATCAGTTTCCATCTTAATAAGATAAGTAAATCACATATATTGTTTATTTATCATTATTAAAATAACTGGCAAGCAAGTACGGTGCAAGTGATCTTTCAGTTTTCAGTAAATGCAAATTGTTATCTAGTTTCACTGTATCTAAACATGATTATTTACATTTGATTCACATTTCAGTGCCATCTGCTGGTCCACAAAACGTCAATGCAACTGCAGTGAATTCAGTCTCCATAAGAGTTGTGTGGGGGGATGTGCCAATGAGGAGCCAAAATGGACTCATCCTGGGTTATAAGGTGACTAGTCTTATACATGTAGCTAGGCTTGTTCTTGCACAAAATTTGTTTCAGTCAAACAGCTGAAACATTCAAAGCAAACTATTCAGTCAACTTGTGGTGAATTGGCAAAATATTTGACACGTTTTTGGACAAAACGTTATATTTTCTCTAGGCAAATTATTTCTTCCTGGTTTTGCAAAAAAATGAAACAAGTGTGTGTCAGGTTGGTGTTTTATGATTTATTTTATTATTATTATTATTATTATTATTATTTTTTTTTTTTTTTTTTGAAGAAATCAGGTTGTTTTAGATTAGATCTACTGCATCAAAATTGAATTATACTAATAGACTCTAAAAAGAATGTCTAACACTTGGCTCAGGAAATTAAGGGTTGAGTACAGTATTCTAAAAATGAAATCTAGCTCATTTAGAAAAATGACATTTAAAAAATTTGTTGTTCCAAACAGGTCCAGTATAGTTCACAAGAAGAAGGTCTGAGTCCAGAGATGGTGACAGTGGAAGGGAACATGACCAAGCAGTGTGTCCTCACTGGCCTGAGGAAGTATGTCATGTACAAGATTCAAGTGCTGGCATACACTAGAATTGGAGATGGTGTTCTCAGTAACCCCCCCAAGTCTACACGGACGGATGAAGATGGTATGTAAAGATAACAGAATTTAAGTCTGCTGAAGATGTAGAATGTATAGATTTAGGGCAATGTTTTCTTTTTTGAAGTTGAAAATGACATCAGGGGTAGATTCACAGACTATATATGAAAATAAGAAATATTTAGATTTTTAGAAAGGAACTTGTGAGAAAGATTCAACTTACAAATCAGGGGACAGTTGTTTTATTTGATACATCTTTGTTTCAGTTCCTGGCAAGCCTACCATCATCTACTTCCCCGATGTGACCTTCTCCACAGCCAAGGTTGTCTGGGCACCACCATTAGAACCAAATGGAATCATCACTGGCTATAGGCTGATATACCAAAAGAAAGAAGGAGGTCCATCCCAAACAAACTATACAACAGCTGGTGTCAATGAATTTACTGTCTATCAGTTAGAAAGGGAAAAGTAAGTGTTTTAGAACTTTTTAAAGTGAAGTAAAAAATCTTTTTAGAAAGAAATTGTTTTCATTCTTTATAGTTTNTTTTTTTTTTTTTTTTTTTTTTTTTTTTTTTTTTTTTTTTTTTTGGGGGGGGGGGGATTTTTTTTTAATTAGATTTAAAAAATCTTACGACAAAAAGAATGTTTTCATTCTTTATTGCTTATTAAGTGCTAAAGCTGTATTAAACAGTTTTTATGTATAGCTTTGGACACAAATTAAATAATTTCATGTTTTTGCAGGACTTACATGTTCACTTTGACAGCAAAAACAAGACTGGGCTGGGGTGACTCTGAAACTGTTGAAGTCAGGACAATCAAAGACAGAAGTTAGTATACACTGTATATTTCTAAATGTTCATGTCTATATGATAAAGGGTTTTATCTCAATTATTTAGATAATTTGTTTTTAGATTGTTGTTTTTGTCAGATTATTTGTAACAATATAAAAATTCATGCCTTATAGAATCCTACATTGGGAGCCCAACCCTAAGTGCGGAGTCTGATTTGATTTTAATATCTGTGTAAATATGATAATGATGGAAGGTTATCTCCTTAGTTTGAATTTGATTTCTAGAAAAACCAGATGCGCCCTCTACAGTCCAGGTCAGTAATTCCCAGATCAAAGCACGTGAGGTAACCATCAGCTGGCAGCCAGGCTTTGACTGGTATGGACCAATTAGAAACTTTACCATCCAGTATCAGAAAGAAGGCCAAACTTGGGTCACTGTTCCAGGACTTGTACCCCACACTAACACATCGCATACTATAGGAGGGTAAGATATTGATTCTTTTATTTCATTTCAAGAAATTTGAGTACTTTTTTTTTCATATCAGGATTTTATACCTTTATCAAAGAGTCCAGGGGCTGAGCATTTGTAGGTTAGAGATCTAATTACTGAAATTAAATGAGAACAAAAGTAACTTTTTACAATGATGGATAAACAGGCTTGTAACATCTGAAGAAAATCTTCAATTTTAGGCTTAGCCCAAGCTCAAGGTACATTTTCCGTGTCGCTGCCACAAATGACATAGGAACCAGTGAATTCAGCAGTCCATCCGCCTCAATTCTAACCCTGGAAGCAGGTTAGTAGTATTTATTTTGTTATTAGACAAAAAAAAATGAATTTTAAGATATACAGACGAGGAAGTTTTGAATTTTTTTGAAAATGAAAGCAAAGCTCTAAATCAGTTGAGTAAATTTTAGTGCCACATCTGTTTCTATTTTAGCCCCTGATGGTGCCCCACTGAATCTGAAAGTCACCCCCTATACCACCACCTCTGTCAAAGTCCAGTGGGAGGTAAGACACAAAGAAAAAACAATTTGTATTGCTCTAAATAGCTTTTATAAGTAAAGTTTATTACTCAGAAATTTTATATTTAATTGGTATATTGATATGACCATGTAGAACTTGTTTTTCTTTCAGATTTTTACTTCACTGAAAAAGCGGTGTTTTATCTGTTTGTATTAGCCGTATATTGTTTAAGCTTTTTACAAAATATAGTGTGTATTTTACTCTGCAATTGGCAATTTTGAAAAGCCATAGAATTATCTTTCCAGGACTGTCCTGGTGAAGGAGTATTATATTATTCTGGCCATTGTATTGACAATTTTACTGTAATTTTACTGCTATTTCAATTTTAAAGTTGTTGCATTTTTAGCCTCCACGCTTTGATCTTTGGAATGGCATTCTCCAAGGATATGTCATACAATACCGTAAATATGGCGTGTGGGACAACTGGCAGTCTGAAAATCTCTTCAGTAAAGACTTGAACTCAATCTCCTTGGAGGGCTTTGAGTTGTTTAAAACCTATGAATTTAGATTAGCAGCTACCAATGCCCTGGGCCAGGGTCCATGGAGTCCATCACAGATTGTCTACATGGAAATTGGTAGGCTATGGAAAGACTCATGACAAGGTCATGTTAAATGGACAATTCATAATGGGATCTTCCACATTCTTCTTTTCATCTTTACACATAGAAAAATGAGATTTATTTGATATTTCATTTTTTGTAAGCAATATTCTGCAAGTTGGACCTTGTAACAAAGTCAATGTCAACCATATTAGATTACTGAACAAAAAACTTCCAAGTACACAAAAAGAGCATGTTTTTGAAATAAAATGTAACAGTGAGGCATCCCAAAGTGAATTGTCCCATGATATGACTTTGTGCATGCCCATCAACATAGCATGTCTGTACATTAACTAACTTTGGTTTCCAGCTCTGTTTGAAGCCACACCTGGGGCTGCAGTCTTCTGTCACGGGGGTGTAGTTGCTGTGAAGCCACATGCATGGCTAAACATTTATGTTCGTTTTTAATACCTTTAATCACTCATCATCTAACCCACCATTCTTTTTGTAGCCACCTCCCAGAGAACTTTGGAATACGAATGGCGACTTGGTGGGATATAAGATAAAATATCGCCAAATTGATAACCCATCATATCAAGAGCTGATAATAGAATTTCCTGCTGTCACTACTTATCTGTACAATCTTACCAAAGGAGTGACATATGAGTTCAGGATTCTGGCTTATAACAGCATAGGAGATGGGGTTCTAAGCAAACCTGAAACTCGCTTTGTTGGGGAGGCTGGTAAGAATTCATGCCACACAGGGGTACCATATGCATGTTGTTTGATACCCGTGGGTTTTTTTTTATTATACTTATGGAGTGATTCTGGTTTGGCTTCACTGTGCATACAATTCATGGCTCTTCCAATGATACACAATTTCCTGTCTACCAGTGAACCCACTGCACTGAAATGTTCCCCCACATTCAATACAGAGGCATAAAACAGAAAATTGCAAAACAGGAGATTGTTCTGTCAATTCCATGCAAGACTTTTGAATGTGCACTTTCAATTTCCGTTTTCATCATTCCCCTTCGGCCTCCATTTTTGCTTTAAATATGGTATCCCTGATTGTGACTCTTCATGCATGAGGTATCTTTCTATCTTTGTCAGTGTCTAACTCTTTTTGTATTCATTACTGTTATTGTTTAAATCCTGTAAATGACTGTCTTGTCTTTTATTGCATATTAAAGAGCACATGCTTTGGCAAGCACATTTTATTTACACTTGTCTGTCCAACATAGTCAACTAACAGCATGTCTCATTATGAATGTAATGCTTTGTTTTGTCAAAATTTAACTTATAACTTCTGTTTAGATTTTGCATATAACAATTCTAGAAGAATATGTGACTTAAAGATTAAATTTCTTGTGCCTATTAGTTCCAACAGCCAGTCCAGAGAGTCTACTGTTGGAGGCTAAAAGTTCCACTGCGATCCAGGTGCGTTGGAGACCACCACCAGTTGATTCGCAGAATGGAGCTCTACAGGGATACAAGGTGAACTTATTTAATCTGCATTTATTGCTATGTTTTATGTCTTATGCTTAAATTGTTTTAAATTATATTGATTTTAGTGATATTGTCATGTGCCATTAAGAAAAGATTAAAAGATAAAAAATTACAGAGGTAAACTCCTTGAGATTTTTTATAAATGATATATTTTAGTTTGATGTTAAGTTTGATATTCACTGAATTTTCATCAACCCCTGATGTTGTAAATTATATTGGTCTGTGCTTGACAACGAGTTCCAATTTAATTCAGATATTCTATTGGGAAGATGGAAAGCAGGCTGAGACAGAAAAGAAAGCTCTGGTAGAGGCAACAGCCAATGAAATCTCTCTGCAAGATTTAAAGATGTACACTGTGTACAATATCCGTGTATTAGCTTATAACCCTGCTGGAGACGGACCCAACAGCACCATTGCCTCGGCTAGAACTAATGCAGGCAGTAAGTAATACTAGTCAAAAGGTCCATCTAGGTATTGGCATTGGGAATGTTCCTTTGCAAGTTTTTCTTTCCCTAACTGAAATCTAGAGTAAGTGATATTAAGCATTTGCAGTTCCATAAACTAATTATAGAGGATCTAATGAACTTCAGGAGTGAACTTTATTACACATTTTTGGGAAATAAATTTGCTGTCATTTATATTGTGTTTACTTGTGTTTGTTACAGTTCCTGGGAAACCTGGAGAGCTGTCATTTCATAACATTTCCCTGGATTCCCTCAATGTGACCTGGACTCCGCCAGAAGAACCCAATGGAGTGATTGTTAACTATGAGGTTGTTTACATAGGTATGTGACAACTGACATGTTAGAAAATAAAAAGAGAAATTTCATGCACAATAAAACCATTTTGTCCCTTTTTACTCTGATATGACAAGGGTGAAAACTGAAGATTTTCTTTCATTACAAAGATTGAATAAATTGTAAAGTTTGATTCATAGAATGCTTTTCCAATTATGTATTCAGGTGCAAGTAAAACTGTCCAAGTAGAGACAAATAGCAGAACAACATATTACTTTGCCAGAGACTTGGAGGAGGGTGTCACATATAACTTCAGTGTAAAAGCCAAGACTGATTTGGGTTATGGCCCATCTAGTACCAAGGCTATCACCACAGGCAGTCAGCAAGGTGAATTAGATAATCAAGTTCAACATTTTGGTACATACATGCAGTTGATTATATCTTATGAGTTGGAATTTCTCTCTTGGCTGTCAAGATTGGATGCTTAATAGTGATAAGAAAAATGTCTTTTCTCTACAGAATAAATGAAAGATATAGTCAATAGTTATATTTTATTTTGTTGAATTGACTACAGGTTCTCCTGCTGCACCTATAGACTTGGAATTGGACTATGCATCTACATCTGTGACTTTAAAATGGACAAATGGGGCTGAAGGGGCATCAGCCATTAAAGGCTATATTATCCAGTCCAAGGCTCCTACAGGTGAGATAGTGGAGTTGCTTATATATGAAGAGCATTGCACGGATGATATTAGATGGCCAGACTTTGAAATTATATTTATATCAAAGTCTTTATTTTGGTCCCTTCATGCTGGAGAATAGAAGGGATGTGTGTGTGAGTATTTCTGCATAAAGAAAACATCAGTGATATCTGTTTGCTTTTAGAATGGTCATGGAGAACTATTTTGAGGAAGAACTCTGCAGGCTCTGTGGCTGTAATTCCATTTGACAACCTCAGCCCTAACAACATCTACCAGTTCCGTGTGATAGCTGTGAACGACCATGGTATCAGTGACCCCAGTTTGCCGTCCCAGCCTCTTCAGACCCCTGCTCTCAGCCCTGCCTCTGCAGCCGTGGAAAAGATCTATGAGCAGTGGTGGTTCTTGGTGATTGTTGCCCTTTGTGGACTAATTCTTATCATCATTGTGGTCTCTTTACTCTGCTGTACTGCTAAGAGAAATAAGGGTACGTGTATCTGTGAGAGTTTGAAAGAAAAGAAATGGGACAAAGTAATAGTTTCCCTTGTTTTATTGTAATGATAGCGGCCTCGATAATAGCTTTGTGGTGAAAAAAACTTAAAAGTTACAGTTGTCTAGAAAATCAGAGATGCCCAGATGAACACTATTGTTAAAGAATTGTATCAGAAATATAGCATTTGTTGTTAGTGAAAAAATTTATGTGTGAAGCTTAAATAATTGACTTACAATAAGTCATTTGCTGAGAAAGTACCAAATAGCATTTAGTGTAGAGACACTCAATGGCAGCAGGGGTTTATAGAAGTTTTAATCTCATTGTAAGTTGTTTTTTCAGTTGTGCATGTGTTTTTGTTTCTAGAACCTCTCCCAGCGAATATGAAGGTCATGACCCCAGTGACTATGCCTCCATCAGAAGAGGCACACAGTGTAGTGGATGATGATGGAGGATTCACATCATTTGAAATGCGGGAATCAATCAGGAGAAGCAAGAGGAGTGTGGCTAATGGAAAGAAAAATAATTATATCAGGTAAGAATTCAAAAGATGGAATTAGGTTGAGGATACTATTCTTATTTGTGTGAAATTTCGATAGTTTTTCAGGTTGTGCCTTGTTTGAGGGTTTTTGTGTTAGTTATGCTCAGATTTACATTAATGGATTTTAGGACTAAGGTAAAAGTTGTATTGGAAAACCAGTCTGATGAGATTGAAATAATTGAATTTTTTTAATTAATAGTTTCTGTAGATATAATATTGAACATGATGACAAGATATTATTCTTAAAATGAGATCTGTTGTTTAGCATGTTATGAGCAACATTTGAAATAAGGGAAATTGTTAGTACAAAATAATTGTATATAGAAAATGCATAGGTGCACCGAATTCTCATCTCTGAGTAAAAGTCAAGTGTAAATCAATAAAAAAAAGTTTTGGAGAACATTTGTGTGAAGTTGATATCTATATTTCAGTTCTACTGCTGCCATAAGGGATGTTGCAGAATCCATTGCAGAGCAACTGTTAGTGACTAAAAGCATCTCCCAATATATATGCATGTACATATGTATATGATAAATGATTTTTACCACAGATTGCGTTTTAGAGAATGATCATTTATAAAGAATGTGATGGAAATATTTCTCCATTAATCTGATAATGAGATTTCCTTCATTCTTCAATATATATCCTTCCACTATTTATATACATGTGTTATGGGGGCCACTAGGTTATTTATTTATATGTTTTATTTTATTTCAAGGGCTCTCTCAGTTTTTATGTCGAGTTTTTATGTTTGGTTCCAACTTCTCCAGTATGATCTTACTTTCAGTTTCAGCATGGTGACAACATATGTAACTTGATTCAGTAGCTTTTGAAAGTAATACGATGACTATAAGCAAAAGAATTTTAATTCACTACTTTGACATTAAATGTTAACAAAGAGCATGCAGAAAGGGGTCAAACATCTAGTATCAAATCTGGTAAATGATGAAGAATGGTTATCTTTGCATACAATCAGTGCCAGCAGTTATATAGTTTTCTTTTTTATTCTTAGATCTCCACCTCGTCCCAGTCCAGCCAGTGTCACCTATTCAGACGAGGAGTCTAAACCTCCAGGCTATGATGAAGATGGCAGCAGCACTACCTCTGGAAAACCGTCTGATCTTGACTCAGACTCACAGGTATGGTATTTATATATAGATGTTAATAACATGAACGAATAAAATATGAAATAAACATGAATGTATTTGTATGTAGATGTAACATTATAAAATTGATTTTTTTAAATAAAGGAATTAGTAGTTGTCTCTTTTCTGTTCTTACTTATTTGTCCTCTATTATTGTACCAGCTCAACCTGTCAATTTGAAATGTCCAATTCAAATAAATAAGTTGTGAAATTTTAAGCAGAGCACTGACAGAGAGGTGCAAGGGTCCACAGGTTTTGAAGTTTTTGGTTGTGGCAGTAAGATAGCAGGTTTATTTATATGGGTTGTTATAAGCAGATGTGTGGAGATTCTGATCTAGTTACAGGGGCTGATGGAAGCCATCTTCTGGGTCTTCTGGAAGATGGTCAGAAAATTTTTAATTTACATTGACAGTCATCTAATTTTATTCTGTCGGAAGACGGTCAAAAATGGAGGGTGGATCAAATTTGGAAGGCTGTCAGGAAATATCTAGGGATCCACCCCTTAGTTATTCTCCCCTCTAACCTGCTTTTAAAAATCACTAACAATTTCTTTTCGAATAGAGTTTAGTGGAGAGACACATGATGGCAGCAGGGGTTTACATAAGTTTTAGTCTCATTGTAAGTTGATTTTCAGTAGTGCATGGAAAAAAAAGACCAGGAAATATTTGAGATCATTGTAAGCTTTTTATCTTTTTCTTTTTATGCCAAGTGGTGTGGATATGAGTATTCTTGCATTCATTTCTGTTGTGCAGCATTTACTTTGTAGTATAAGGGGACAACTGAGGAATCAGACTGTTTGACACATGTTCCACTGTAATGAAAATGAGACAGATTACAGCTGAAGTGAATTATGAAAGCAGCTTGGTGTTTAAAAGAATTTCTTTCTGCATGGGAATCTGTTATTGAAAATGCTAGTTTAGATTATATTTCAAGTCTTTGTTTAAAAGAGATAGATGAATAAGGTGAGGCAAAATGGGCACGCATGGATGTAACTTTGAAGAACTATTGTTTTAAGCTGCATGCTTTGAAAATGCTAAGTAAATCAGAAGATGCCTTATGAATGGAAGTGGGTTCATGGTTTATCGAAATAATTATATATAATATGTATACAGTTAGAGCTACAAATGTCAAGTAGTAGCAGTGAGTCAAGTGACCAGAGGGAATATTGGCACAGTCGCCCTGGACCCAGTACATCCAAAATACATTTGGTCTGAGTGACCAGAGTGAGTGAATGCATGACAGTTATTCAAAGAATATGTGCCTTTATAGTTTGGGACATATGGCTAGGAACCAGTCATAATGGAGAAAGTACAATTTTTATGGGAACTTTTGGATTTTTCTTCATTGGTTTATATTGGAACAGGACTTTTTTGAATATAGAACAAGATATAGCATACTTGTATTAAAACAGAAGACATTTACAAGTATATATTTTTCATTTTTGTACATTTTCAGGAAATTTTGGAATGACAAAGTTTTATTTGGTTTATATATTATGTATTTTAGAAAAGATTTTATTTAATCTAGTTATTTTGGTGGTAATGATTACAAAGGGTTGTTTTTGTTTTCATTTTATGACCAGAGGTTATTTGTGATTATTTCAATCAAGTAAAAATAATATATTATTTAATTATTCTATTATACAACTTTTTATAATAATATTAACCTAATACTTAAATAATTAATCCTTATTAGACAGACAAATTTCATCTAGATATTATCCATGTCTTCAGTAGTTCTGAGCTTTCCTACCTCTCATCCAGGTTTAAATAAAACATAAAAGACCAATGATTTCAAGAATATCAGGTTCATAAACCAGTGTTTTTTGTCATTTTTGCAAAATAAAAACCGAAAAATTACATAATGTTAATTTTCCTCTCCAGGAGAGTGACAGTGAGCCACCTAGTGAGAAGGGAAGCCAGGCGGCAGCCCCTCAGCCACACCAGTCCTCCAGTTTCATGACAGCTAATCCTTATGTCAATGATCCTGTTAGACAGTCATGGAAGAGACAGAAATCCAACAGTAAAGCCTACAGTTACACAGACAGTGAACAAGAAAGTAGCCATTATGCAATGAGTCTAAATGGAGGTCATATAATTATGAACAATATGGCAGGTTCTCGGGCACCATTACCTGGCTTTTCATCATTTGTATAGTATTGGCTGCATTCTGGCACAAAAAAGGCTGGTCCTATTTTGATAAAGTATTCCTAAAGTGCCATGGGTTTCTGAACAAATTTTTAATGAAATAATTAACAAAACTTTGCACAATGATCTCAAGGACTTGTAGTCATGAAGGATCTGTCACAGATGAAGCTGGATTCATGTCTACATCAAGCAGTAATATCAATGTATTTTGAAAAAGGCATATATATATAAATTGATGTAAGATGTTTTATTTTCCATTTCATGTTCATACTGCAAACTACATGCAGTAGCACAGAGGTGGTAAATACAAAGTTGACAGAGTCATGTTTTTCATTCAAACTGTACAGATATGAACATTACATATCTTATTTTAAAATCAACATATGTAGTATAGAGGTAGTATTTTTAGTCTGACTGTACACTACTTATGTGATAAAAGAAGACAACTCAGCAAGTAAACTTAGACAATATAGCTTAACTGAAATGTAAGAAGTGGAGGGGGAGGCTACATAGCATTGCCATTAAAGTAACTGTTCTATTAGATTTGAAAAGAACTGTGATTGTTTTAAAAAGCACACATCAAAATAACTAGAGATCTATGCAAAGAGGTGATACATCGTGAAAGGTATCATCGCGAGACCAGTTACACATGCATATCAACATTTGTTGTACATATCCATGGACTACTGTGTATTTAAATATTTTTTTATACAAGTTGGTTATGTTGTGGTTGAATAAGCTTATTTAAATGCATGTGTGGCTGCAGTTGTTTTCTACTCTAAATGATTTTCCTTTTCATGCTGTAGAAGAATTTCCTAACATGTACCACTGTATCAACTTTTTACATTCATTATTGAATTTAACTTTTAGTACACAAATTGAGTAAATGAAAGATGTACATGCTATTAGAATTATTGAGCAGTGTGTATATGCACATTGAATGTGTTTCTTTCATTCGACATTATATCATGATTTGAAAATATTTAAATTGCATTTTAGAGAAGTACACAATATTTGTATGTGTACAGGTGCTAAAGCTTTTTCTCTACAGACACATTTTATGTACCTCTTTTAAGGACAGCTTTATCTGTAAGTTAACCTGGCAATGCTTTATAAACCCAGATTTCTTTTACCTATTCATCTATATAAGGTACATCTCATAAATGTACATAATATATATACATTTCATCATTGCATTGTGAAATAAACATCATTATTTACACATTGAGGTTCTTGCCCCGTCTCATTTCACTCTGTAATCCTAGATCTACGTTTTTGGGAAGATAAGATTACTGGTTTATTTTAGAGAACTTGCACTTTCTATTTTAACACCATAAAGGTAAAAACTTGAGAATTGAATTTTTATTTGACAGCTGGAGAGGAAAATCAAAAACTGCATGGTACAGATGCACAAGTATTTTTTATTCCATGATATTTCTGCTTGAAAATCCTTCATGATGATGTTACGTAAATTATCTTTCTGCTGGGAAAAATTCACCTTGATCTTTTTTTTAATGTTCAAGTTGCCTGGAATTTGTCATGCTATTTGAAGTGGTAGGAAGCAATCTTTTTGTCTCTAGTTGTTGAAACATGCATCCATGAAAACTTATTTTTTTCACTCTTCTTACATTTAAACGTTTCCTTAAATAGCTAAAATGAAAGCCAACAGACATATCTTATTGTACATCAGTCTTTTTCTCATGAATCATTGTTCTAAAAGGAACAAAAGACCAATATTACCAAGTAATGAATATTCTGGGCCATAGAGAAATGAGATGTACGCATTTTGCAATCGGTGACAATCTCAATGAGGTTAACACAGGAATGCATCAAGTGACGATGGATGAAGTCCACCCATTGTGTTAGAAGAGATCATGAAAACATCTTGATAGACACCCATACCAATAGATTAGTGATAGAAACGTTTCCCAATACTTCAATGCATCTATATGTACCAAAAGATGCACGTTCCCATAAATCTCAGTAGGGCCTATAAACCCACCAGCTGATAGATCCCTGAACCCTAGTACCAAACCAAAATTTTACATCTTTTACAATTAGTTTAAGCAAAAGGGTAGGCCTAGGCAATGCTCTCCACATTTGATGGTCCATAATTTTTCCTTTGAAGCTCATGGGAAACAGAAACTTGATCATTAATTTAAAACATAACATTTAAAATATTTAAAACAAATGGAACAAAAAGTGTTTATGAACACTTGATAATACTTTGGCTTATGTAAAGATGTTAGTGGCCAGTTATTTAGAGGGTACCTGTCCTTGTGCTAGTAACATTTTTTGAATGTCAGCAGGAACAGTAGTACATCATTTAAAATTGGTGTAGATTATGCTGTTAAACGTGTCAAAATTGTAATTTCATCATTAAATTAGTTGTTCATAATTTTTACTGCAAAAGTTTTAATGTTACGGTTTCCATCAGTCTTGTCATTTATTTGTACAGAAGAGAACTTTGTCGCCTTGTTAGAATTTGTATTTTAAAGAAGTCCAACCAAAAATCAAGCAAATTACTTTACATCTTCAGGTTTTCCAAACAAGCTGAGAACATATTTACAAGCCCTTCAGCCTACCATAAGATTTAAATAAACATCATATTTTAACACATGCATAATAAATAGGTTTATTAGATATCTTGGCTATATGTACATATATGAAAGGTCAAAATGTGCCTCATCCACTGGCAAATGCTATCACTGTACACTGGTTTTGAAATAAATTTGTGCTTAAATTCACTCCTACTTTTAGATCTTTTCACAATTAAATAACTTCAACATATGTATTATTATTGGTTTCACTGCTACCAAGTTGTAAAATCATATAAGCATGTTAGTATTGATCTGCTTTTATACTTCTTGGATCTATCAACTGTCTTGATCTTTTGCAAGAATTTTGAAAGATGCTACACCTTCCTTTACAAAATTGCACTTGTCTATATTACAACAACGAAATAATAAATGATCAGATGAAGTTAATGAATATTTACAGTTCTTATGAATAAAAATAAAATTACAATTTACCTTATAAGAATCAACTTTTTTGATGCATTAGGTAAAAATTCACTTCCACAACAACAAACTACCCATTCCAATCTAAGTGACATTAATATCTATGATATTAATATCTAACTAAAACCCAAACCAGTTTGAGAAAAAAATGACAAATTGATAAATAGTTTCAAAATTCCAACTGAAATAAACGACAATGCTCTTTCAGTCTTTTTGTTTCACTGAACATTTAGTTTAGTTATTTGAAGGCCTGCTTCGTCTTCATCCATCCAAATCATTAATTAGTCGTATTTCTTTGCCGCCTCCGAGTATGCTGGTGGTGCCCCCTGTGGAGGAGGCATGTAAACATTATGTGGGTTGCCTGGATCATAGTAGGCACCATTGTAAGCACTTGCTGCTGCTTCAGCTGCCTTGGCATCTAAAATTACAAAGAACACATATCAGACTTGAACTTTCCCCAGCTGAGGATATAGAGGACAGGTTGCTATTATATACAGGGTATGTGCTGGACACAAACACAGCTGTTCATAATGTTAAACTAGGATCCACTATACTGGTCAGGACTTTCGTAGAATTCATGTACTTACCTGCAGAGTTGTTTTGCTGGGGAGGATATGGTGGTGGTCTCAGGTTGGGGTCAATACCTGGATATGGGGGTGGTGCCTCTGTCATATAGACACCATCAGCTGAAACACAATACAAACATGTTGAACAGAGCAGCTAGGTCTTAAAGTGAAAAGTAGGCAAAAGTTTACACAAAATGTATCTGTTAAGAAATTGACTCTAATATGTCATTATGAAGTTGAATTACAACATTTTACTACGGTAATACTTACAATTACACAGTTTATTCTGCATTAATGCTTTTCCATTTTTATCAAGATGTAACTGCTTTGCTGTACTGAAGTCTATATACCTAAGTTAATTTACCCATAACATTGGAAAAATACCAGCCACATGATAAATATAGATCTAGTATTAAACTGAAATTGAAAAAAAAAATTATATTTACCTGGTGGGGCTGTTGGGAATGTCTGATAAGGTACAAATCCATAAAGTGGTTCCCCTGGGGGTGCATACGCAGGGGGTGGTGCCTGGTAAAATGGCCCAGCTGGTGGGAAGTATGGGGGTGGTTGAGGGGGCCTGTTTCTGTTTGCTGCAAAATTTGAACATACCTTTGTTTTTACCACTCTGCTCACAAGACACTGACATGATTGGCTTTCACTTATAATTTTAATAAACAAAATTATTTGTCATTTGTTCTATGTGTAACAAATTACTTATTATCAACTACCCTTGGATTATTGCAATTCAATCTATCATGCATAATTAACCTACAAAAATATCATCAAGGGTCTTAAAAATTGACGGATCTGCAAAGCATCATATGCATTCAGATATATAATTTATATATATATAACTTTCAATCTACATTAGATTTTTTATCAACCTTGTTATCTCCCAATAGAAATACATCTCAATAACTTACCAAGCCTCCCTGCTTCCAACATTGCCTGACCAAACTCAATGGCACCTCCACTGTTGAACCACATCTTAAATTTAGCAATTCCCTGCCAGTTTCCTAATAAAACAAAGACATTCTTCATTAAATATATACAATATAAACATAATGCAAGTTAACCTAGTCAGAAATCGCAGTTACAAACTAGTAAATAATAACAAGGTATGCTGCAGCTTACCATTTTGCTCTGCCACTACTTTGCCTTTGATATAATTTGCTCCAAACACAGGCTGTTCCAGCTCAAGCTGTTTCATGCAGAAAAATGGCATACTGAATGATTGAAGAACATCTTTGTTGTTGCGGTTGTTAAATATCACCTAAAATAATAAGAATAATCATTAATACTTATTAATATTACTACTGTAACGAGAGGAAGCTCATAATATAGTTTCAAATTATTCTAGTGAAGGCTATATTTGACATATCTGTGAAAGAATATAAGATCAAAAAGCTGATATCATTTGCCAGTGACTGTGCTTAGGTGGATGTTACTAAGATGTGAAAAAGGGACAAGTTTAAGCTCTGATCAAAAGTTAAAACTATGGTAAAGGATGATAATCCAAGACTTTTTTTATGACAACATCCAAGTTTACCCGGTGAGTTGTCAAATATAGGCGCCCCTTCTTATTGCCTTTGAACTGTGGAACTGGACCTCCCTCGGATTCTAGTGAGACTTCAACATTATCATAGTAGATCAGGATCCTGGCATATCAGAAATATTGTATTTTTAAAACTACTGTGTAAGTAATTCCAATATGAAGTAAAAGAGATACTAAAAAATCACCTCTACTTACATTAACGAGGCTGTGTACTAGTATAAGATTTGGGTACAATAAAATAATAAGTGCGATTTTGAACATATTTCGCATTGATAACTGCATGTTTATCTATGTCTTTTCTTTAATGCTAAAAACAGGATGTTCTCTCCTAATTATCATTGACATTGTCATTCCTACTCTAGCTTCCTTATTCCAATGCCAAGGATAGCTTTCTGCACATGATTAGAAGGGCTTGTATGCTACGGGAATCTCGACCGTAACATGTAATAATTATGAACAATCTGAAAAGCTGATCATTTGATGTCAATATGGGTTTTTACTACTTTTTACAAGTCTGTGAGTATGACTACATGTATGACGTCGTCATTTCCGCGTCTACAAAGTTTGTCTCAAGCATTTCGAATACCTCGTGATAACATGTAATCGACATGTAAATTTTAAAACCCAGTTAATTAAATCATACACAGCTTATATAACGAATATCAATATATGTCTCACCGTTCACCACAGTAAATGAGTACTCCGCCGTTTGCATGTGCAGTATTTAGCGACATGATGGATTCCCCAAAACATATGACGTCAACTTTATACTCTCTAAACATATTTTATGCTAACTCACAAAAACAAAGTCACCGCCCAAAATGAACATTAAAATTCTTAGATAGAGATTATAATAATAAACTATGGTTTCTAATTGTACCATACTACTGCTATTTTCAAGAGAATTAACCTAGATGTATTTGAGAGTAAAAGGTGACCCTGACGGGAAATGTCCTAGCATAATTTATGTAAACACATTTATCCTGTGTGCGGAGCCAATCCGTGCTGTGTCGGCGTCGGAAACTGAGTATTCATAATGTAAACAGAGGATGTTTGCAAGTGGTTACGGTAAAATTAAACTCTTCTAGCCTTTTAGGTTTCGTAAATAATTCTTCCAAAATAGATTGTGTCTACCTACTATGTATTTTAATTTAGTTTAACTGTGTATTTGCAAGTGTCATTTTTGCAGTGTCATGACATATGAGCGTTGACAGCGACAAAGTCAAGTGCATAATGACAAATAGTATTTAGTACTGCAAGTCATTGACAAGGCACGTGTCTTAATGAACCTTCTAATTTCACATTGCTAAGGTTATATACTATTCCTTTTCTTTAAAAAAGGAAGCAAATGACACGTTATTGCTAATAAAATGTTTTAGATAGCATTGGATTGTTTTGATTGCATGATCATCAATGTTGCCACAATTATGTCATTGGGGCCTGATAACATAATGGTGGTTACACCCTATTTTAAACGGGTATATATATTCTGGATCTTGAAATGTTTCTTTCAAAATGTGATAAATTATTTGTCATATTATATGCATGGACCACATTGGTTGCTGTGCATATTTGTGTTGAACTTTGTGTGTTTGTACAAAATACAAATTGAAAAAAACGAAAAAAAGGAAATATCAGTATAGAATATTTTTTAAATATTTTCAGTGATCAGATTCAATTTATTTTTAAGTCTGAACATTTAAGTTGATATTCAAAGATGGAACAAAACAATCTTCAAAACAATACAGCCTTTGTTGTTATTTTAAAGTTGGTTGGCTAATTAGTCTAACTCCAGATTGACATGTGATTTTATTGCTCTTAGCTGCATGTGGTGTTTTGTTAAGAATACGATAAGCTAGAAATGTGAGGAAGTGGATGAAACAGTAAACCATTGTGATAATGTTTTTATAAACCATACATTAACAGTATCAGAGGTGCTACTACAAATCAGTAATAGTTAAGCTTTTACAGATGGAATTACAGTTGAAGTTATTGTAAAGTTCCGTTTTAAGGGATGAATTATTTTGTGATACATGAGAGGATTTTACTTGTTCTATTTTAGGCCTGGATGTTAGCCAGTACTCAGCTATAGGGTTAAAGCTGCTATGCGTCTGATTGGATCAAAAAGATAAGGTCTTCCTGTCAATTTGCTGAAGTATTCTCTAAGTGGAGCCACTGTTAAGTAAATCTGCCTCAGCAATCTTTGCATATATGTAATCAAATGGCAAGCCAGGAAATCCAGCTGCAGCAAGTGAAACTTCAAATGGAAACTCCTTGCCAGCAGCAGCAACAACAACAGCAACAGCAGACTTCACAGGTCAGTGACAATGAACACCAACAACGACAAGATCATCAGCAACAACAGCGAGACAACACTACAGTAACACCAGACCCAGTTGTAATATCAAGTCCCTTAAGGCAGCAAAGGCGGAATGATGGTATTTCTGTTAGACCACAGAGAGGGGCCACCACCTCCTATCAACCAACCAGAGCAAGGACACCTAAGTCAGACATAGATGCTGATAAAAAGTTCTGGTTAAAGCTGGTGTTGGCTTTTGTATTTTTTGGATTCCTGGGAGTAATATTTGTTATTCTTGGAAGTGTGGGAACAGTTTATACGGTCAACTGGAGGGATTATGATGGTTCACCATTACCTTTTGTGTTTTGTGTAATAGGAATTGGTAAGTACAGATTTCTGATAACTGTTAAGAAATGTTATGAAGGGTTATAGAGTTAATGAGTAACACCAATAGGATAAGATTTAAATGGAGCTTGATCTAAGCACAATATGCAGTTCTTTACACAAAACTGGAGAAATACAATCAGTTTGCAGAACCATTTTCTTATTTTGATCCAAACATCTAAAGATTTACACATTATTTTATTTTTTTCCTTTCTGTCAAAAATGTGCATATTTAAAGTGTAATTTTGAGTGGTTTAATCATTTTGTAAAAAAAAAAAGACGTTTTATAGCAAGTTGTATTAACTACAGCATGTGCATTTTTTAAATCAGCTAACTTGAAAAAATGTTGCTGATTTAGGGTAATTGATATACATTTTGTAAATTGCTGGCCCTTCACCTCTTGGCTATCATGTCAAATATAATTTGACACCTTAGAAAGGAAACATCAATTGTTTTTTATCACTTTTGACAGGAAAATTAAACAGTTATATGCAGGGGACCATAGGATTCAATACAAGACCTTTTTTGTATTCTTTGGGGCTGTACCTCATGTCAGATGTATCCTGCTAAATTATGCACTTTCAAGAATGTGATCAGATTACATATAAAACATACTGAAACAGAATTTGAATGAAAGGCTGTAACAGAAAAAAGTGAATATAGTAATTATGTCTACAACAAAAGTGGTTACAAATTCTCCCCCCCCTCCCAATCCGTCTAATATGCCTTGCTATCTCTGCATGTTGCCACACATGCATAAAAAGAGCATTCCTCTTGTTTTTTCAGAGGTTGTTTCTGATCAGGTACATGTACTTTTATTTTCAGTTTGTGGGGTGATCATTGTGCTCATTGGTGCTATCCTGGGAAGGTTGATGATTTCTCAGAAGTGGCGTCAGAACTCTGGGAGGAGAAGTGCTTCACGCAGGAGAGCCACAGGTAAACCTGAAACCAGAGCTCTTTGCACTACAGTTTTCCTTTGATTTTATCACAAGACTGCTTCAATAAAATACTTGGAGAGCATTCTGAATGGTTTCCAACTTGAGTTGTATTGATTTCCTTCCAAATTAGATAAGACGAATCAAGTGGCTACGCTGTAGCTGCTTGTTGTATATTATTGTGCACTATTGGCGGCAGCATGTTTAAACTGAGGGATTTAGAATTTGACATATTATGCTATATAAAAAATACATGCTTTGCTTTATTGACTATTACAGACCATTTACTCTTTTGGTACTTATTTAATATTTCTGCTCTGATGAGGAAGTGGGTGCTGACGGGTGTCAACACGTCACCCTTAATTGGTTTTATCAACACATCAGTATAATTCGTTTTTCAATCTTCCATCATATACCACAATTATATGTCAGATTGTATATGTGCATGAATATCTGTGATAGAAAGACAATTCTCGGATGGCTTAATTGTGTGTTCATCATGCAGTTTCATATTTGCAACTCTGGTTTGATCCCAGGTGGCAGAGACACAAGTGACTTGCCCCCATCATATGAGGCTGCAGTATCAGTTGTACAGGGAGAATATGCTGTCCAAGTCTTCACCCATGTGGACCCCCAGACTGGAGTCATATCACCACCAACATACACAGAAGCTGTGGCAGAATTACCTATGTACACAGTTGAATATAACCAGGCAAACAATTAAATGTTCTAAGCAGTCATGAAGAGTGTTACTTTTTTGCTTAAATTGCACAGATCCTTTAGGAAACTGAAATACTACAGTTAAAAGGACGAGGCAATGTTCAAAATTTACGAAAAACTTATCAATCAAATCATATTGATATACAAAAAGAAAGGCATCTAAGAAATCATAATTATTGTGATTGAAACTCTTTCGATTCAATTTTTTTGTCCTTAAATGTTTGATGAATGTCAAAGTATCTTTTAAGCGAGGGTAGTGTGGTTTAATGCATGAAGTCATTAAAATGTGGTGATTTTAATGTTAGTTCAGGAGGTCATATATTATTACCGATGCTGGCAAGAGCCATTATTAAAAAAATCTATTTCTTGAAATGTGAGTATTGACCCAACTTTTTCAGCATTCTGTGGGTTTTGATTTATGACTGATCATATCTATATGAAGGGGCGCCTGATGTATATTAAAGCTGGCCCTCGTCTAATCAATTTAGCAGAAAACATGGACAGATCAAGTTCTCAGGAGATTTAGACATTGTTTATGTAATATCTTCATTGAAAAAACAATTTTGCAGAAAGGTTATTTATAAAACTAATGCTTGGCAGACCTGTCATTTTCCCTTAGTTCAAGCATCATTCATGCTTCCTCAACTGCCTTCAGTTTCAGTGCTTTTCGAAGAATTTCCCATTGCTCTGTGGCATGATATTGCCAGCGATTGACATTGAAATGATCTTGTGAAATGAAGCATATTAGAGAATAAAGCCATTATGTACCATTCGAGTTTACCAAACACAAAGAATGTATTTAAAACAGATGCATATACAGTATGAATTAAGTATGTATTATAAGACTTGCAGAAGTTTAAAATGGAGTGCATTTTTAGGTAAAAATTTGTGATATTGAATGCACATGTACTTAAAAAACAGTGGATTAAGTTGCATAAAACTAGCTTCAGAAGTGATATGCAAATTAGTTGCTGTGTGAACTAATATGGGCTGAATGATATTCAAAAGATATATTCCTTTTAATAGAAATAATATTTTGTTTTGTACAATTTTTTTTCATCATGGTGTGAATGTTTTTTTTTCCCATGCATTTGCAAGTCAATTCATGAGCACAGCTATTTCTCTATTTACATCGTCATTGTCATTATCAGCCAAATAAGTCTTTTTCATAAATAAAGTAGATATTGATTATTAATTAAATAAATGTTAGAAAACATATTTTCATTATTAAGCTTCTATATATGCTTTTAGGAGAATGATAAAAGATGTTGAAATTAAAGTTACTTAGCCAGGTAAAATGTTATTTGGAAAACTTATTAGCAAGTAACAAGTGTAAATAAAGTTTATGGACATAATAATCTCAGTTTTCTTCATTCTCTGCTTTCACAAAAGTAATGCGACATTTTTTGGCTTTTTCCATACGACTGGTAGAACTTAACACATACGTATACTTGAATAAAATATTTTCTCCTTTGCCTAACAGAAGGTTGGGGATTTCTGAGAGGTCAGAAGGCCAGTTTGAGACCAAAGTCTTCCACTAGACCAAAGGAAGAACATTGACGTTTGAGCTGTATTTAATTGTTATGGATGCATTTAATTGTTACAGACATTTAATAACTAGGATATTAGCTGTCTGTTTGGGTCAATTTGTGACTGTTGCATTTCTTTCGGTTCACCAACCTACCGAACACTGCTCTGAATAGAGGCTGTCCGGGTTCTCAACGAGAAGACCAAGTTTCCACGTGATTTTACGAGATCTGCCTTGAGGTGGGGTTAAAATATGGAGTCCACAAGGAAGTAGAGCAGCGATTTCTTTACTTGAAAAATAGCTGAACTTACACATTGGATGGATGCCATATCAGAACATTAGACTTGCCTGCATCTTTGATTTAATTTCACTAAATTTATAGTAACTAATTCAAAAGGCTCGAGTTTGATCATAAGGTTAATTTTCTTCATTTATTTACTTATGAAAATGATGCTATAGAAACTAATGGATAGCATTCACAAAATGTAAGTTTCATTGTGATCAGATCCGACTTAAATGACAGGAAAGATGACAAAAGAAAGTATTAAAATGGACAACATATAAGTTGAAATTTTCACAAAATCATTGCATTTTATTGACAGTTATACACAAATGCAACAAATAAACACATCACAGGCGAACTTGTATTTGTGATCT